ACATGTTCCGTCCCATCCGATGATTGTTCCAACGACGTAAAGTCCATAGCCACAATCTCTAGTGGTTTTGTTGCCAGTAAATGTCCTGATGGCTGTCTCATTTTGACAACTGGCATTTTCGCATGCTGACACCTCACATAAGCCTCACAATGGCGTTTAACCTCCATTTCCATATTGGGCCAGTAGCACCTCCGTCGTAATATTTTGTGCGTCCTGTCCTGACCCTGGTGTCCTGCCCTGTCATGTGCCAACCTTAGCACTTCTTCTCGTAACTGTCCAGGCACCACCACCTGGTGTATTGTCCCGTCTATTTGGTCATGAATTCTCCGCATGAGAACACCATCCTTTATACTGAGACGGTCCCACTGACTCAGTAGTTTCTTTGTTTCTCGACCAAACTGTTCTCTTTCCCTTCTTCTTGGGAATTTTTGTTCCTGGACGTATTTCAACAGCGGCTGTAAGCCACTATCCGTTCTCTGGGCATCTCTTATCTCTTTGTGATTCAGGCAATTAAAATCACTGATGTCCATATGTCGGGGCTCTGTGGATGTGTGCTCCACCACAGTCTGCCCGTTTTGCATCACTTGCACCCCATGAGGGATATCTGTTGACGCTCTGACCTCACATATTCCTGTCAGCGTTTCTTCCTCATCGCCCGGTTTCTCGTAAGGATTCCTTGATAAAGCGTCCGCATTGCCATTGGACCGCCCCGGGCGATATTTTATCTCTAGGTCAAAGAGTGCCAATTCTGCTGCCCATCGCTGTTCGATGGATCCCAACTTTGCTGTCTGTAGGTGACTCAGGGGGTTATTGTCAGTGTATACCACACATTTAGCACCTAATAAATAGTCCCTGAATTTTTCAGTCACAGCCCATTTCAATGTCAAAAGTTCTAGTTTCATGGCGCTGTAATTTGTCATGTTCTTCTCTGATTCCTTCAGAGCTCGACTGGCATACGCAATAACCCTGAAACCTTGCTCTTGTTGTTGTGATAGTACAGCTCCCAGACCTTTAGAGCTGGCGTCAATTTCTAGCCGAAATGGTTTGTCAAAGTCTGCGTATCCTAATATCGGCGCCTCTGTCAAAGCATTTTTCAGTAGCTTAAACGAGTTCAGGCATTCCTCAGTCCATAATTCACCTATCAGTTGTGTTTTGCCTTTCTTTTTCTCCTTACTGTGTTTCTTTGTCATTTTGTTTACTAAGTCATGCAACGGTGCGGCAATTTTTGCAAAACCAGGTACAAATTTTCTATTTTCTTCTTCAGATAACAGACACTCTAAAGATGAACATTTCTCCTGTGCCTTTAATTTGCATGAACCTTCCCTATCCAGTTTCATGGTTAACCTTGAGATCTCATTATTAAGTCTACCAATTTCTTCCTTATCATCATTTTTCTCTGCCAACAAATTGTTCACTTGAAACTTTTTAACATCCAAGTTCATTTCACAGTTCATTTTTTCAATATCTGATAATTTCTCTTCGAGTCTTGTTTGAGACTCTTTCATTGTTTGTCCCATTTTGTTTCTTAAGCCATAACCTCGCCGCTCTGTAGCCTTGACCTGCCTTACAGAGGGCGATCGTTTCACCGGACAGTACCGTGCCATATGTCCGGGCTGTGAGCAGGACAGGCATATTGGTCGACCGTCAGCCGTCCACCGGAGCGATGGACCGGCAGGCCGCAGCTGTCCAACCTGTCTATGTTTTGTCCAGTTTTTGCCCTGATTCTCAGCTGTTGACCTGCTTTCTAACCTCTCCAATCGTTGGTCAACCTTAACCAGGTGGGCCAACAGTTGAGCCATCATGGTTTCCATCGTGCCGGTCCCTGTGGGTGGGGATTGTTTCTGTTCCGGCACAGAGACTTTGTCTACCGAACAGTTCGATTGGTCCTCATCCTCGGACCTGCGGATCGCTGAGTTCCTGACCTGAAGGAAGGTCAACTGTGGGTCTTTGTAGACCTCTTCTTTCAACTCTCTCCTTAAGATCGGGGTTGCTAGCCCCTCGATGAAATGGTCCCTCAGTAGGCGCACATCAATGTCAGGTGTTTTGCCCTTTACCGAATCAAAGGCCCTGTTCATTCGGTGTGAATACTCCATCACACTCTCCGCCATTCTCTGCTTTAAGCCTACGAACCCCGATAGCAGTTGCGATCCCGACCGTCTCTCCCCAAAGGTCTCCATAATTAGATCCAGCACCTTATCTGGATCTGATTGGATGGTTTTATCGTGGCATTTGACCTCTGCCCTAACCGTCTCCCCTATACTGCCCATCAGCAGTCTTAATCTTTCCTCTGGTGACATGTATCTCGAGGCCCAGGCCGCTTTGACCTCTTCACTGAACCTGTTGGTTAAAGTTGGATCACCGTCCCCGTAAAATTTGTTGATGTGGGACTCTCTGGGCAGGACCACAATATGGGTCGGCTTCTCGTCCAGAGTAGACATTCTAATTTTAATTCTTTGAGTAGAAAAAAAAAAGACCTTTCCTACCGTGTATGTATGAATAATTTTTCCTCGTTCCTCAATTTTCACTGTTCCTGAATGTCCGAATTCACACACACGAAACACAGTTATGAACTAGGTTGACTATGGGTGCCTAAAGCGGCTGGTCTAGTTGAATCATCCTGTCGACAGCGCCAAATGTAACCGAGTCTATTTGCATCTTCTGCTCGACAACGCCAAATGTAACCAGTCTATTTGCTTGTAGTGCCAAATGTTAACGAGTGTATTTACTCATTCTACACAACATCGACCACAATATAGATACTCGAAGATGCAGGTTTACCATTGATCCTTTTATTACATGAATCAAAAGAAATGCTTCACAATAATATAATGAATCAACTGACCCCCAACCGTCCTCACTAGTCTTCACATAACCGAATGCACATGTCTATCGTCCCTATTAACACAATACGTCTACACCGTTCAGTAACCAACTGAGTTCTCTACTGTCCACCGTCCTTTGACTGATCCTTTGATACTGATACTGACGCCTTCCTATATTATATCCTCGTATTCGTAATCGTATTCGAAATCGTATTCGTAATCGTATTCGTAATCGATTCAAATCGTTGCATCAGAATATTAATTGCGCAGCTCTGTCGTACAGTCCGCTTATTAGACCACCTGCATCCTGTTACGTCAGCCTGTGAACTACGCCGCGGCTTTGTGTTCGTTATCAGTTGACAGACTGTAATGCGTTCTTAACAATAGTGACTAGTAACTAGGCCTACACTAGTTACATATATATATATATATATATATATATATATATATATATATATATATATATATATATATATATATATACACATATATATACATATATATATATACATATATATATATATATATATATATAATTTATTTATTTATTCTAAAAAAACACAAATAGCTGTCTGCCACCCAGAGACTATTGACGGTGTGACGTTTAGTGTAACATTGAACAACAGCTTCGCTCTGTCAGAATGTCCAGCAGGATATAATGGTAAGTTCATCGTCTCAATGTGTCTAGAATAAACCGGTAGTGATCTCCCCTAAACTTTCTCGAATATTCTTATATAAAACAACAGGGGATGGTAACTGGGGATATAGTTATGATTTTTAATCCATTTTAAATACTTAAACTTTTAAAAATAGAATAGAATCTCATAAAAAAAACATTGCGCACCAAGCAAACGCCGAATAAAAACGCGTATAATAGTGCGCAATATTATTAGTACTTTAAAAATTTACATTAGTTTTTTGAGAAATCGGAAGTAGCGTAAATTACTACTTCCAGTCAACGGAAATTACTCAAAATTTAACAGAAGGTAGAGAATTAGATCTTTTACTTACATGTGAAATTTCATTTATCTATCTGAAATAGTACTCAAGTTATAGGCTTTTGAAAAATTCAAAGTAGGAAAAGTACCACTTCCGGTTATCGGAAATCGCTCAAAAGTTGATACGGATCTACGATTTTGATAAAATACTTATATATGAAATTTCATCAACCTAGCTGTAACGGTACTCAAGTTATCGTGTTTACACACGGACAGACAGACAGACAGACAGACACACACACACACAGACATACGGACAAGATTGCAAAATTATGTTTTTCCGTATCAGTGAGGTGTAAAACGTCGAGATTTGTAAAAATCTCGATTTTTTTTTTTGCACGATTACAATACTTTCTCTATACTACGTATATACGAGAAAGTAAAAAATGGGGAGGGGGGGGGGGGTAACCTGTAGTGGTGTCACCAGCCGTGGTAACACAGGGTGAGAGACCCGGATGTGGCGTCAGATGTAACTACATCAGACATCTATACTCTCTTCAACTGGCACCGGAAGCTTAAATTAAGACAGTTATTAATTAAACGAATACTTGTTTACTTTATATCGTAATTTAGTTTCTCCAATGGGCGTATTGTGTACAGGGATTCAAATACAGTTTAGGTCACTATGTAAATTCTCTTATAGTAGTTTTGCTTAGCGAACTGATGGAATTCAGGATTATAATAGTAAAACATTTATGAATGTAAATCCTTGCAGAGGAGAAAGGGGGGGGGGGGGGGGTTATAACCTTTATCTAATCAACCCCTAGGATTAACTATAACAGTGATCAATGAAAAAATCAAATGGTGCGCTAACCTAATGACAATAATAATGACACATATACCTTGTACTCAAGACAGTTACATAAGAGATATTAATACATAGGTGTAGTGTAGTTCTACTTAATTTAAACAGAAGGCATGTACTTCAAAAGAATAACAAACGAACGAAAAATTATGCTTAAATGACCACTGACAGTCACAATTTTCTGTTTGTTTTTGATACCTATTAAATTTTTCATATTGATTATTTTAATTTTTCAAAACTCAATACTTTAACATATAAATTAAATTCTTAGGATTTCTAAAAATTATATAGCTGTTGTGTTTAAAAGACCAAACTATAATAGTTTTTTTTATAAAGTTTCAAATTATAAAATTATAAAAAAATTATTTGACTTCCTTAAGAATTTTCAAGTATTGTGTCAGTTATCCACTGCATATTGCTTGGGACAGAAACTGCATAGTCGACATAACCTCCATCCAAGGGTAGATTATGGGTGATTATTCCAAGCAAGTAGTAACGTCCATTCTTCATGCAGCTCACTGGTCCGCCAGAGTCTCCGCTGCTTATGCCAGAGTGTCCAGTGGAACTAAAGCAGAAAAAAATTCCATCTCTATCGTATAATCCAAAAAGCGATAGGTGGGCAAGGCACAGATTTTGGTCCAAATTTCTGACACGAAGCTGTTGAAGACGGCTGTTTAGCACGTAATTAAAATGACCGGTTTCCCCCCAGCCTGTGACAAAACAAGGCGAGGCGTCCCAAATATTTCCTTCGGGCAAACAGATAGGCTGGACCGAGTCTGTAAATGTTAACGGAGATGACAGTTTAAAAAGGGCCAAATCAACCGCATCGTGTTCAAACGCCGCTTTAGTGCGAGTTCTATTGCCTTTTAGATAGCTGTTGTTTCCAAAATATACCTCAGCTACATCACCGCCATTACAGTGTCCAGCGGTCATTATCCAGTCTCTGTTAATAATAACTCCTCCGCACATCCCGTGAGAAAAAATCAACCATACTTGCCATGGCCAGGCATTATCTGGTGCGTCTTTGCCACCTACAATCTGTTGTGATTGGTCGTTCTTAGACACGCCACATTGACCTTGGTTTAATATAGGCGGGGACGGCAAGTCTTTGACTACATCTGATTTGGGATAATTGAATTGGTAATGTTCTTGGTACACTTCTAGCGGAAGATTGATACTTCTGCCGAAAGAACAATCGTCTGATTGAGATTTGATATGACCAGGCTTCATACATAGTAATAAGAGAATCTGCTCGGGACAAAATTTAAAAATATAAACTATTAAAGGAAATTAACATATAAAGTATTAAAGGAAATTAACACTGAAGGAAGAAAAGTTGTGTTAAAGATAGGAAGGGTTGTATCCCCCCACCCCCTCCTTCCAATAGACCTTACTAGGTAATACTTTTTTTCCGGACAAACGGCCTTCGGGCAATTGGTCATTTTGGACATTAGCTGCATTCCTCAAGAGTCCATTCGGACATTTTTAGCATTCGGGCAAATGTCCATTCAGGAAAACACCCTTTAGGTAGACGGCTTCTGGTGTCTTACTTGAGTTTGTCGTGGACCCATCTGGATTCATTTACTCGATGCAACAAAGGCTAAAACGCATATTTTCCACAACTCTATGAAAAGGTTGTTTACCCAACTGCAGGTCAGTGCAATGTAAAAAAATGTTTGATTTATTACTCGGTATTAGCAGAGGCCAGAGTTTCTTCTCCAGGCATCTCTTCGGGGGGGGGGGGGGGGGGGGGCAAGCCCCCCGAATTTTTTTTTACCGCCACCCCCGAACGAAATGAAATTCATATAATTTATATAGATAATATATACTTTTAACAGTGTCCGCCTCCCCCCGAAGAAAGTCTACCGCCCCCCCCCCCCCGAAAATTTCAAGTGCCCCCCCTCCCCCCCGGAGAAAAAAGTCTGGAAGAAACACTGGCAGAGGCAATTAATGCTTAGTCGTTCTTTCTGGTAATCTTTAAAAATATCTCATGGCAAGTATGGCCGATTAAGTATGTTACTGGGAAAAACTATACTTTCGTAACAAACTCTTAATTTATGTTCTCTCGTCCAATAATAATGTCATCTCGCTTACTATAACTAAATAAATTTTATTTTTATCTCTCTCTGACTTTAACTAAATATTAAATATGATCTGAAATATTTTTTTTTCTCTCTCCAACTATAGGCCTAACCAAATATTATCTGAAATATTTATTTTACTCTCACTAATTTAACTAATTATTTATTTTTCCCACACTTACTATATTTGAATATGATCTGGAATTGTTTTTATCAATTGCTGTAATAAAAAAAAGCTAAAATTTATTTAAATTGTTTTAAAGTGAATAGACTTACCAAAACCATTTCTTGTATTTTCATTGTCATCATTTCTAAACACAACTTTGATTGATAGAAAGCAAAAACAAAATCTGCAGAAAAGAGTTGACACATTCGTTGTTTATTGGTGGTAGAGGGTAGAGTGGTGTGTTAATATCTCTCCGAAATCTAGGTGACTATATATAGCTATACATGATTAGCCATAACAACGTAATGGCTTAACATGTATCACTGACAAAATTTGATTGAAGACATGGGTGTATGTTTTATTTTATGTAGTCAAATAGTAAGCAATTTGTCTAGGAATAGAGACCACTATAGATTTGGACATACACATTGAATCGTATAAAATTAGTATCTATCAAAGTCACAAATATGTGGTTGAGCTTCAATCGTTATATAGCTCACTTTTGGGCTGAATGTATCACTAGCTCACAGCTAAATATATTAACCCTACACGGACAACTGAAAATAAATTTAAATAAACCGGTAGTGATCTCCCCTAAACTTTCTCGAATATTCTTATATAAAACAACAAGGGGATGGTAACTGGGGATATAGTTATGATTTTTAATCCATTTTAAATACTAAAACTTTTAAAAATAGAATAGAATCTCAGTAAAAAACAATTGCGCACCAAGCGAACGCCTAATAAAGGTGTGTATAATAGTGCGCAATATTATTAGTACTTTTAAAATTTACATTAGTTTTTTGAGAAATCGGAAGTAGCGTAAATTACTACTTCCTGTCAACGGAAATTACTCAAAATTTAACAGAAGGTAGAGAATTAGATCTTTTACTTACATGTGAAATTTCATTTATCTATCTGAAATAGTACTCAAGTTATAGGCTTTTAAAAAATTCAAAGTAGGAAAAGTACCACTTCCGGTTATCGGAAATCGCTCAAAAGTTGATACGGATCTACGATTTTGATAAAATACTTATATATGAAATTTCATCAACCTAGCTGTAACGGTACTCAAGTTATCGTGTTTACACACGGACAGACAGACAGACAGACAGACACACACACACACAGACATACGGACAAGATTGCAAAATTATGTTTTTCCGTATCAGTGAGGTGTAAAACGTCGAGATTTGTAAAAATCTCGATTTTTTTTTTTTGCACGATTACAATACTTTCTCTATACTACGTATATACGAGAAAGTAAAAACAATGTTAAGGAAAATATAATTAGAAGATATAATTACAATAGGAAATCACAAATTCGCATGATGTAAACCAATAAAAACATTTGGTGTCCGTACTCACAAAAACAATGAAATGTAAAAAGAAATCAAATAATGATTTTGAGCATGCAACATGGTATTCTCAAGCAGCCACTATTTACTGTAAACACAAAAAATTCAGAAGAAACAGAAAACAAACAATGATTCATTGAAAACAACCAAATTGTTTTAGGCATTTTTAACATTTTTTTTTCATTATCGAAAATACTAAACACTTCAAATTTCATAAACATCTAATCTTTGGTAAAGTCTCAGAAAAACCTCAAAATAAATTTCTATAACCACATTTATTTTTATAATACTGCAAACATTTAAAACATTTTGTAAATCTTTTTGACTATTCACTGCTGCATCCATAAATAGTTTTAGATCTAGATTCTAGATCTAGAGATCTAGATCTAATCTAGATCTAGATCTAGAATCTATAAGTCAATAGTAAAAGGAATATTTATCACACTCTTTCGTTTTTGCCCAAACTTTAGTTCACCTAAGCGTCTATTCATCATTGAAATAAACAATTTCCATTACTTACTAATAACTAAACATAGACCGTTTTGTAAGTAAATGGAGCTACATCTTGCTGATCCTAATTTTACCGAACATTATTTTTTTACGCTCATACCTCCGCTTGGTAAACAAACAATGATCTCAAGATAATGGTGCAGAATTGTGCGCTATTGATGCGAGGCGTTTGGATTCATTTGTGTGAATATGACACACATAATTCGATTTGAAATTAGTATTTTAAATGAAAAAAGCCTTAATTTTGGAACTGACGGTCTATGGGGCAAGTGAAGTAGAGTTCATTTGTTTCTGTGACCTCGGCATATGAAGAGATAGTGTGGTCAGCACTTTACTTTCCCTAACGTGAGTATCCATCAGAGTTGGGTGGACTCAGGGACGTTCTAATGTGTGCGTGTACACACTTATATATTATACTAGAATACCCGTCATCCGTTGGATAACTGTGGGTTTCGGGGGTCATCCATCAAAAAACATCACGTCTGTCACTCAGAGGCATAGCGACCCTTCCCGGCACCCGGGGACAAACTTTTCGATTGTAACCCCCCCCCCCCCAAGATTTCGATTTTTAACCCCCCCCCCTCAAACCTTTGATGTGCACCCCCCCACTCAAACTTTCGATTTGAACCCCCCTCAACCTTTCAATTTATTTTTCCAAACCATTTTGGCGCCCCAACATATGTCCCCCCCGCCCCCCCCCCCTTCCCCCCTCCACCTCCCCCAGCCTCCCCTTCCCCCCCCCCGCCTCCCCTCCCCTCCCGCCCCCCCCTTCCCCCCTCCACCTCCCCCCGCCTCCCCTTCCCCCCCCCCCGCCTCCCCTCCCCTCCCCGCCCCCCCCCCCTCCTCGCTACGCTACTGCAGTGTCACTTATCGTCACAAAAAACAGACCCCACATTCAAAAATATGTTTCTTATCTTTTAAAAACACCGAAAACACCGATTTCGGACAATCCCTTCATATACTGACGTCACATGTGACCTACTCAACTCTACTTCACCTGCCCAGTGTCCCGCCAAGTCTCAGACAACATGTTTTTATCGTTTAAAAAACGATTCCAGCCGAGCATGTCTCTGACCACACTATCCTTTCATATGCTTAGGACAAAGAAACAGATGAACTCTACTTCACCTGCCCTGTATCCTGCCAAGTTCAGATAGGCAACTTTATCATTCACATCTAAAAAAAAACATTGAAAAAAAAAGATCATTGACATATTGGTCTAGAACCTGTGCCACCCGCATGAGAGCGGACTACGCTATCAACTTAGCTATTTACTCGTGACGTCACAGATGAATTTTTATACTATACTTTTGAGTCTCCGCGCATAGATCTAGATCTAAGTCTAGTAGTAGAATCTAGTAACTTTCAAATTAAATTTTATCTTAAATTAGCCAAACAAAGATTTATATAAAATAATTAAGGCCTGAAATAGATTCTAGATGTATTAAGGCCTGAAATAGATTCTAGATGTAGAATTTACATTAAGTCTAGATCTAGAATTTACATTGAGTCTAGTGACCTAGATCTAGGCTAGATTCATAACTTTCCTTCGACAGCTGATCTTTAGATCTAGAGAAATTTATTGTAAAACTAAATGAAAAAAGACAGTTTAAAATTGATATAAGTGTTGGAACGTAATAAATACAGCAAACGGACGTATTGTTAAAGTTATGACCGACAGAAAATTAAATTTAGAACGCGTTAAACTTTTGAATGGGAACACAATTTTCTTCGATAGACGCCGCCATTTTATTGTACTAAAGAGTAAACAAAAACCTGTGACGTCACGGTCCCGCCGAGTGTAGTGGTCGTTTTAATCTTTTAAAAAAAAATGGGTTACTCTGCGTATGAATAAATCAATAAATTAATTAACGTCTTTAAATAAATTTGTGATTAACAGTCTGTCTTAAAATAAAAATTTTTCTCTACCTACATACTATTTTACAGCTTTCCACGATGAGTGCAACCATGCGAGATAGTCGATCAGGCAAACAAACAAACAAACAAAAAAACAAAAAAATAAATATTCAAACATGTAAACAAACTTGACTTTTAGTAGTATATAGATAGCATTATATAGGCATGACGAAAAGTATACAATTTATTTTATAACGTTACTTTTCTTTAAATTTATTGTTACTATCGGAGTGTTGGGATTAATGCGACTGGTTTTGTCGCAATAACGTCCTAGTTTTTATGTGGTGGTCTGCTTTTTTGTGATGATATGTGACAGAAATCTCTGGGAAAAAAGCTACACAATCTCAGTACATTTTTTCTTAAAAGACCCACAGTCCTGAAAATAAACTTAATCTATAAATCTATAATAGAGTCATGTTAGAATAATGTTTATGTATGTACAAAATTGAATTAAAAAAAATTCGATTCGTATTTCGTTTTCTTTCGTTTAAATTTTTAAATAACCAGGAATTCCGTATTTTAAATCTACTTTAGATTTTGTTGAGCTTGGCGACAGTGAAATGGTGTGATTTTATTTAAGTACAATTAAACTAGAATCATTTAAAGCATATTTTTTATGTTATATAATATAAGGTAATGTGCCTATTCCCTTTCTAAATTACATCATCTAAAATTGATATTTGTTATTTAGTTATGCTACATTAAAATATCTCGGTTATGGAAAGAAAAGAAAGATGAAAGGCAAGTTCAGACTAGTTTTTTTTCCCCAAAGTGGGCAAAGGGAAAGTAGATTCTAGATCTAGAAATCTAGATCTTAAGTTGAAAGGACTGAAAAAGTAAATCTAAAGTCTAGATTCCAGATTAGATCTAGATCTTTAGGTCGATTTATAATATTTAGTAGGCTAGTAGATAACGGCCATGTTCGAGGTAAAAACCTGACCCAAAAACTTTCTGATACCAGGCAAATGCGATTTTGTTTAGCATACTGATAAGTTTTTAATTTATGGTGAATTAAATAGTTTAAAAGGTCATTTACTAATGTTAATTAAAAAGTAGAATGGTTTTCTTTTTGTTTTAATGGTTTTGCGATCTGATTGCTTGCTGTGTCTGCGTTGGTCTTACCTTGGTTTAAAAACAGTTAGTTTCAAATGCATTAAAAACTCAATTTTTGAAAAGTTTCCTCTTAGATAAAGAAAGTTTCCTGTGCTGACCACACTATCCCTTCATATGCCGAGGTCAATGAATCAGATGAAATCTACTTCATCTGCCCCCTGTGAAGAAGCCAGTTGCGGTCTTAAATTGCTTAAGTAGTATTGTTAATAGAAACATTAAGTAAGCACACATTAAATTATTTCACACCCTGATGCCAGTTTGCAAGTGGTTTTTACAAAAAAAAATATTCTAAATACATAATAAATATATGTAAGAAGTCAGAAGTAACATAACTTCATTAAAGTTAAATATTTATGTTTTTATGACAATGAAGTTAAAGTTACAAAGAATGTAAACAATATAATTTCTTTACTTGCAGAACTCATTCTATCTGGTTCATGTATTGCAAGCATTAGTATGATTTTTCATCTATCAAGTAAAGATATATGACATAATATGCTGAATACTTTGAACAATATTCTTTGAAAAAGTGGACATCTTCCTATGAATAGGCTAGAAGAATGATGATTAATGACCAGATGGTCCTCGAAGAGGACTATGATGAAAATTATGAACCAACAGAGAATGGTATGATTTGACTTAGTTTCATTAAAGTATTTACTTACATTTAAAATTCTTTTTTTTGTTTGATTAGCAAAAAGAAGTCTAACTAAAGATCATTCTTCTTCTTAGTTGTAAATTGTAATGTTGGACAGTATTTCCTCCAACACAGTTAAGTATTATGTATCAACTGTTATGTGCCATAAAGGCAGTCGATCACATTTTAGCCTGCTTTCCTTTCTGGATTTGCTTCCATAGCTTTATGGCAGCAGTTGTTTGATTTCGGAATTTTCTCCTAGATGGGATGCTGTCCACAACTATTAAGCCTCATCAGCCCAACTGTTCAAACTGTGGTCTTTACAGTTTAGTTGCTGAGGGCTTTACCAACCCTACCTTAGAGATCAGTAATTGCATTGAAATATCGAGCCATTGCTAACTTAAACTTTATCATATGGATTTTTTTGTGTGTAATCAGAACTTGATTAAATCACATTTTGTTATGGCTATCTTACATTCTTGGTAAAAATAATGAACTGAAGTATTTGACAACTCTACTTTTGACAATTACTACTTTTTATGTACATATAACCGGGACGGAGTGGTCTAGCGGTAGAGAGCTGGACTGCTAATCCGTAAGTCTCGAGTTCGAATCCGGGTTCAAGTCAGTAGACCGTCCCTGAGTCCACCCAACTCTGATGGGTACCTAGGGTAAGTAAAGGCGGCTGGGCATAGTGCTGACTACACTATCTCTTCATATGCCGAGGTCACAGAAACAAATGAACTCTACTTCACTTGCCCCATAGACCGTCAGGTTTGAAAGGGAAACTTTATGTACATATAAACAATTGTTTCTTATTTGCTATCTTACACTGGATATGTTGCTGTTTCATTTCTCAGAAATCATTGAATATGCAGCTTCAATAGGAATTGATGTAGATAAGGAACAACACCTACTATGGATTGCAAGAGAAGGAATAAACGCTCCACTTCCAGAAAACTGGAAACCATGGTATGGTCGTACATTTTTAATGTTTTAAAAATAGTAACATTAATAATATTATTGTATTAAAGCTCTCATGAGCTACTTATAAATGTAAGAATATTAGTTCGGTTTTCTATTCATTAGTTAAGGAAAAAAATTTCCTTTTATATCCTCAAGATAGAGTCTTATTAAGGATCTTCTTTCCTTAGCTACTTCATTTGATGTTTGTAACAGTTCCTGTAAAAGTGTATGTTGTACTTTCTCTTTCAGTCAAACTCCCACTGGAGATGTTTACTATTTTAACTTTGCCACTGGGGACAGCATATGGGACCACCCTTGTGATGAGTTTTACAAATCTATGGTTCTTGAGGAGAGGAAGAAGATATCGCCAGATAAAAATTTTGGTAAACAAAATAAGCACTCTAAACGAATAAAGTTGTGGCTTTATAGATTTAAAACCATCATTACCTCTCAAAAGTTTTAAATCTACAAAAGGGCAAGTTTTGTATGCATTTTGTTTTCTCCAATAATAGCTTGGCATTTCAATTTTATTACATAAGAACTTTTTTTTTAATATTAAAAAAAGGTAATAATAAAAAGAAAGTGAAAGGCAAGGAAGACAATAAAAAGAAAAAGGCAGGTGCATCGAGTTCTGGTACCGGTATAGGTGGTGGTGATGAGTTGGGTCCCTTGACAAAAGCTCCTGGTCAGAAGGTCAGATTTTACTGGGTTTTTTTTTTATAGATTAGTACAGTTTTTTAATAGTTTTTTTTCTTTAAAATATTTAATTCTTTGTTAATTTTTTTTTTTTAGTTACTTCAGCTCGTTGTTTGATTTTAAAATGAGCCTTTCAGTGTTTGAATGGAAAGCCAATTGAATTTTGTTGTTGATTTGGAAAAATTACGTTCATTTTTGTAGCTATTTTTGTTTTTTAACTACTATACTTCTTTCAAGTTTTTTTATATACATTAGTTAATCTAGACAACATACTTTTTTCACTTAAAGCAACTTCTTTTTTAACATATATACACATCTGAGATTTGGAATATCCAGTTACCTTATTAAATACATTTGATTTGTAAACAAATCATGAAATGAACTATTTTTTTCAGCTGTCTACATTGAACCCTCTCTCACTGAAAGCAGAACACAGTATTGGAACACCTCAACTGCACAGGAATAACCCTGGGCCCCTTGGGCCTGTCAAGTCTACAGATAGTTATGGTCGCGGATCTGTTGGTAATTCGCAACAGGTAACTTTATCAGTTCTTATTAGCTTAGCTTAATTTTTTTGTCAGCTCATTTAGTAATGAGTTTTTTTTTGGGTTTAGTGTTTTACAATTCTACTGAAAGTAATGTAGGTTGTTTTTTTAAAGTGTCTTTTTAAGTGATTGCTTGTAGCTTAAGCTGTAAAATTAAGCTCAAACCCAGAATGTGGAATGAGTAAATGCTGCTGTATTTAAGAGATTAAAACATGTTTGAGAAAAAAAAAGGATATATTTACTCTGCCATACACAAAGTTTACAGGAGGTATTATAATTGTGCAAAAAAACAAAATCAAGAATTTTACAATTTTCTGCGTTTTAAACCTCTCTGAGTAGAAAAATTAGTTTTGCAGCCCTGAGTGGAATCATTTGTCTACTTTTGATTTTTCAAAACCCAATAACTGTTTCAGATAAATAGACGAAATTTCACTTATAAGTAAAAGATTTAATTCTCTGCCTTCTGTCAAATTTTGAGTAATTTCTATTTAACGGAAATAGTACTTTACGTTATTTTTTATTTCTAAAAAATCGCACATTGTTTGCTATTCACTTGATGCACAAGATCCTATTCTATTTTATAAAGTCTAAATGATTAAAAATCATGTCTATATCCCTAGTTACCATCACCTGTAGTGTTATATAAGTATATTTGAGAAAATGCAAGTATCTCTTTACTTTAATAATGCTGCAGACACTTGGTTTAGAAAATAAGTGTATAATCACTTCCCTTAGTAATAAGAAAGTAAACAGGAAAATTTAAAACATATTTATGTAAAAGTGATTGTTTGTCAATATCAACCAGTCTAATGCAAGTCATTAGTTTAATATGAGTAATGTTGTGTCTTGAGATTATTTAGTGTTCAAGAAAATCAATGGTTATGTGGTCTTTTTCAGATGAGGGGAAGTTTCAACACTACATCTGGGTCCTACAACAAAAGTTTAAATGTTACCAGCAGTGTGACGATACCTGTCTATTCTGGGGATTATGAAGATGATGATGTAAGTTGTAGATCTGACTATAAAATAGCTGCCACAGTTGTGTGCCTAAATTAATTAGCAATAACCAAAATCCACATATTTTCATTGCTGAATTATTCAGTTGTACAAGTGTGTGTGTTTGTGTGTGTGTGGGGGGGGGGGGGGGATAACAGATTTTTATATATCTTGCTTATTTGTTCAGTTAAGTTGGATCAAAATAGTTTTAACCAATTCCAAATTAATAGAGTTGATATCATGCAGTTATTTTTAACACTTTTTGTTTTATTTTGTAGGAAAATGATCGACCTAGCATGAACAAATTCAATTTCGGGGACATTGCTGAATTGGGATATGAGGTTGGTTTACATTTACTGGATGTATTTTTTGCTGAAAATATGTTGGTTTATTGGGAGTATTTTTCTACTGAATTGGGATATGAGTTTATTGGATGTATTTTATGCTTAATTGGATGTATTTTTGTGGTGAATAGTGATATGAGGTTTGTTTATTGGATGAATTGTCCTATACATTTTTTTATTAGAACTCAGTGTTTGTTTAAAAAAAATAAGTTTTAAATTCTTTTAAAATAAAGCAGTTTGAAAGGTCAGATAGCTTTTGAACATAAAGGTAGAAGATACATTGTTTTTATTTAACTGTTCTCAGGAATCTGATCCAGAATCTGAGAACAAACTGAGATCTAAGAAAGATGAAACAGAGAGTGACAGTGATGACTACAACAAAGAAGTGGTGAGTGGACCTTTACTTTGTTGTCAATTATTATGATGTACAGCCACAACTTCAACTTCCCATTTTGATCTTTATCTACCATAGGGCCACCATGAAAAAAATACTTCAATTAATATTCAGCATGGTTCATTATTATAAAAAAGCAGACTTCAGATCTACTACTAGAACTTGTTAGGACAATTCTTTACCTGATAGCAAGGGAGGCAACAGATGCTATTCTGCTGATGCTAAATGTTGTGTTTACATAAATAAATATTTCACATAAGGGGACAGAGTGGTCTAGCAGTAGAGAGCTGGACTGCTAACCCGTAAGTCTCTAGTTAGAATCTGGGTTCAAGTCAGTAGACCGTCCCTGAGTCCACCCAACTCTGATGGGTACCTAACTCACGTTAGTGGGCATAGGGCTGACCACACTATCTCTTCATATGCTGAGGTCACAGAAACAAAAGAACTCTACACTTCACTTGCCCTATAGACCGTCAGGTTTGAAAAGGAACTTTACTTTACTAAATATATCACATATGATACAAAAAGTAAAACAGAAATTGAAGTTATACTTATATAAATTAGATTCATAAATATTTTAAAAGTTTAGAAAAATGTCTTGTGCCTTATGTTTTGCCATAATTCCTTCACTAAAAGTATTAGAAATAGTTGTTAAATTTCTGTTTTTCTTATCTAGGACTTTGGCTTAGACAAGAACCTGTCTGAAAAGTTGATGGAGTTTGAGAACTTAGAACCAGGTCTTAGGGGATCCCTTGAGAAGGTGAATTATCATTTGTGAAATAGTGGCATGTTTTTGCTTAGTGTTTTTTGCGCTAAAATCCCTTTTGGAATATATTTTTGATTGCTAATTTGTCTGTTATGACTTTAATCACAATCACATAATCCAACCACTGTAATTTCTAACAGTGGTGTCAAAGATAATTTGTTTAAATTTTAGTTTCCATATTAAACATTTGATATTTAACACTTTGCCTGCGTTGTTTGGAAGTGGCCGAATCAGTATTTTCTTTTTAGTGTGTTTATGAAATAGATGTAGTTTAGCTTTTAAATTATTATAAAAACAATTTCTCTAGATAATCAGATATTTTCTTGCATTGTTTGTTGCTGTTTATTTATTTTCTAACTTATTTATTAACCATTAGATGAACAGAGTTGGCAGTAGTTTAGGCCAGGTAAGAACACAACTTTAAATAGCTGTTTAACACCTTTCAAAAATGCCAGCAGGACTTTACAGTTTTATTGCATCACGATTTTTTTTGTCTGCCATTATCAATATTCTGGTCAGGGTTAGGATTCAGGTGAGGCCCCTGCATTAAGTTAGGGACAGAATTTGTGGGATTCAGTTCAGGCCCATGCATTAGTTAGGGACAGAATTTGTGGGATTCAGGTGAGGCCCATGCATTAAGTTAGGGACAGAATTTGTGGGATTCAGTTCAGGCCCATGCATTAGTTAGGGACAGAATTTGTGGGATTCAGGTGAGGCCCATGCATTAAACTAGGGACAGAATTTGTGGGATTCAGGTGAGGCCCATGCATTAAGTTAGGGACAGAATTTGTGGGATTCAGGTGAGGCCCATGCATTAAGCTAGGGATAGAATTTGTGGGATTCAGGTGAGGCCCATGGATTAAGTTAGGGACAGAATTTGTGGGATTCAGTTGAGGCCCATGGATTAAGTTAGGGACAGAATTTGTGGCATCATGTTTCAAAGAATTGGCAACAAATTTATCCTGCTGACATTTTGATAAACAACTAAATTTCTAAAAAATTTTTAACATCGTTTTTCACAGCCAAGTTTTTAAAAATTCAAAGTGGTGAAATTTATTTAAGAGTCTAATGGTCAAAGATTTAACAGCATGTCTGTTCCATAATCACAGTTTTATTTCTAACTTTGGTAATATTTTTAATATAGGGTGTTATGAATTAACCATATATGGTCTATTAAATAATGTAAAAGCAATATATTTTGCATGTAATCTTCCCAATTTGAATTTTGGCAATGACAAGTAGTAAAAATTAATATAAATTACTCGCTGGATTAAAGGAGCTTATTTAATATGCATATTAAAGCTGCTTTTTGCACTTTTAAATGCCTTAATTTATTATTAACAATTATTTTAGCTTTCTTTCTATTATAATTAGTGACATGTGGTTTTCAACACTTTAGCATTCTTCATGTGATGATAGTAACAGTATGCATATTGTGAGAAATATCAGAGTTTTATTACTGATTTTCAAGTTTGTGTTCAATTCAAAATGGTATTTTCAGGTTATCATTATTGATATGTTGTGCTGTTGCTATTCTTTGGATTTACAATATTTTTCTGTTTTTAATAAACAAATGTTTACATTTATGTAGACATACATATTTACACAATATATCAGCACCAAGTTACATACCTTCTTATAAGTTAGTGCTCAATTTTCTATTACCACCAGTGCAGCACCAAAGTTTATGTTTAGGTCTAGTCCATGTATTATATTAAAAGTAACTAATAATCCCTTTTCTATCCTGATGGTTCATGGGGCAAATGAAGTAGAGTTCACTTGTTTCTACCTTGGCAAATGGACAGTGTGGTCAGCACTATGCCCAGCTACTTTCCTTAACATGAGTTAGCTACCTTTCATAGCTGGGTGGACTCATGGATGTGCTACTGACCTGAAGCATGATTTTAACTTGAGACTTTCAAATTAACAATTTAGCTCTCTACTGCTAGACCACACTGTCCCCCTTGTAGTACATACACATGCCCAAACTTCTTTGTACAGTTGTACTGAGTTTAGATTAATATTATTGATCAATTTCATTAGTAAATTTTTGTTGAAACATACAGTTCAGAATAATTTTGATTCTATGATATTAAAAGATATATGTTCAATAAGTTCCATCAAACTGTATTGCTCTCCTTTTTTCTACACTGGTGTAATTAAACTCTTGAATATTAACTACACTCATTTTACTTAAAGGAATTGAGATATTACAGTTAACTGCAGTAAATTCTAGAATGTATTTTATTGACATCTTCAGCATACTATGAACATAATTTAAAACTTTTGTAAGAAACAGCATAACAAATAATACATAGATAATGCAAAATGATCAATACTTGTTGCAATATGTGTATTAATTATATATTTTTTGTATGTCATAAAATGGTTTGAGAAACATAGTTTTTATACATTGTGTATGTCTACTGTATTTTGCAATACTTTAATGCTTCTAGGACATTGATGGCACGTTATCATTGAAGTCTACTGCTAGGGATGAATCTCCAAGGGGCAAAATTTCTCCTTTAGATATAGATGCTGAGAGAAGGAGAAAAGCAGATTTGGCTGCAGCATCTGCGGAAAGGTAGTCTCCCTTTATTTGATAAAAAGTTATTGTTTTTTATAATGGAAGTGAGGGATTTTTAAAACTTATAATTTTGGAAACTCATTTAAAGAATTAAATGATGTTGTATTGTTAACTGTTTTTAAAGTTTAATGTTTTTTTTAGCAAGTTGATACTATTGTGTGATCTTAAAATAATTTTCACTGACATATTTTAAAATAATGCTTTTATAGTAAAAAGATCAATCTCAAAGAAATACAGTTCAAGGAAATGAAAAGTGTTTTAAAATATTACTTTCTTTAAAGAAGAGCTCAGGAACAGTTTTTAAAAGATGAAGAGTTCAAAATTGCCACAGCCAATGAGAAAGCTCTTCAAGAGATGCAAGAGAAATTAGAAAGGGAGTTAGAGAATGCTAAACTTGAACTCTTGGAGGTAAGTAGAAAATTTACACAGGTTTACATCTATTTTATAAACTATGTAGACATTAATTGTCATTAACTGATTGCATAAAAAACAACCTCAAGAGTATCAGATTTGTTTTTCTTTGGTTGTGTTTCAACAATTCTATTTAACAAGGAATAAAAAATATTACATTTTTCTAAAAAAATAATTCTGAAAATAGATTGATGTGTCTGTTAATATAAGATAAAGATAAATAGTAATAAAATGGGTAGTGTTAGTATCCTCACAAGTTGAAGACGATTACAGTGTAATCCTTTAATTTGTGAGAATACTAACAGTACATGTTTTATTATTATTTGCATGAACATCAATGCGGCTACCATTTTTATTTATTTATTATTATTATTTAATTTATTTATTAGGATAAAGACAGAAGGTTAAAGAAGCTGAAAGATGATATTAAAAAAGAAGCAGAAGAGGAAGAGAGGAAGATCAGGGCAGAGAAAAGAGAAGTGATCAGGTACTACCACCAAAACATTCTGGTCCATTTACTTTAAAAATGGTTGACTAATCAGCCACCAAGACCAAAATATTCTGGTCCATTGATTTTAAAAATGGTTAACTAATCAGTCACAAAGCCCAATATATTCTTGTCCATTTACTTTTACACTGGTAGACTTATCAGTTTGTGGTCAGTTTTTTAAATTTATCCAGCAAATTTGTTTGGACATTTTTCTGTAGGCCAGTGGTTCAGTTTTATTTTTAACACATTTTTACACTTATTACATAGATTTTCCACTACTTTAATATTTTTTGTATTACTTGTAGTGATATTTTAATATAAAGAAAGTAGTTTGAGGTAGAGGCTAATAATATTGATACAAGGAGAATTATCTTAACAAAATAGCTTCTTGATGATTTAATTATTATATATTCTAGATAACTATTTGCTTGATTTAAGTGGCCTTGTTCCTAATTTCATTAATAAGTTATACATTCCTTGCTAGATATAACAGACATGTAAACTTTTTTTTTGTCTTTGTAGTTCTTGCTTAAACTACAATGGGGTCTTCAATAAACAATATCCCACTCCTCGGGTGGTGGATGGTGGGGGGGGGGGGGGGTCATACTCTTGTGTGTGGAGGTTGGGGGGAGGAGGTTGTTGTTGAAACTATGTTGGGGGGTGTAGGCTGAAATGCAACATGATTTTAGTGTCAAAGAGTCTTGGCTGTTTATGACAATGGGGGATATAAAAAAAATCAGTTTATGACAATGGGGGATTTAAAAAAATAATCCAAAACGTATGATGGAACTGGTGGCATTGGTTTTTCAGCAATAGTAACCTGGGTTAGTTATTGTGTTTAGGGATATCAACTAAGGAAATAGCTGAGATTTGTGAGCTTCTGTTATTTGTACTTGCACATCTGCCTCTCCTGTTAGCAAATTACAAGAGGAGCTGAATAATGCTAGGGAAAAGGAAAAAATCCAGTTAACGAATTCTCAAGAGCTCGACTTGGCAAATCTCCGTAACCAACACAGCTCAGTGATAGCCCAGAAAGAAGCTGAGTTGCGGTAAATGGTGACTCCCTAAATGTTTGAATAGGGCTGGTAAGTAGGTCACCAACCAGTTCTATGGCCCGTGCAGGTTTTATTGAGCCATAGAACTGGTTGGTGACCTACTTACCAGCCCTATTGTTGTGGCAGCTGACACCCTGCATGGTTTTAAAGCATTTTGTTGTCGTTTTCATCTGAGTTTTGGACAAAATATGTTCATGCTTTGGTTGCTACAGTTTTTGTTTTGCTTTGTATTAATTACTAACTTTAAAAAAAATATGGTGTAATGTTATGATAAAAAAAACAACTACTCACTTATTCACTGTGCTAAAGAATTATTATGCATGTTTGCTTTTAATCAGGCCTTTCACACATCCTCATCAACAGCTGGTCTGCACTCATCATGTGTACTAAAAATAGATCCAGTTTATCTATGTAAATGTACAGCTATGTGCTTACTTAAAAGCCTAATAAAATAAACTAAAACTATCAAGTCAGAACATACTATCTGACAATCCAGATGTGAATACATGTAAAAGGGTTGAAAGAGGTTTCTTTACTGAAATAGCAATATTGACATAGGGTTGTTTCAATTTCTAGGGTAAAAACTGCTGTCTTTTCAAGGGCTCTATTCTGTACCGGTGTCTACCCTTGGTGTTGAAATACAAATTTTTGCCACTATTGCTATAGAAGTAAATACAGAAGCTTGCTAGATAAATTGTTGTGTTTTTGTTTTTTGATGTAGTGTAAAATGGCACTTTAGTAACATGAACTAACTAGCCACAAAGACAATCCCTAAAAGACTTATGTGTAAATCCGTTTTCCATAATTTGTTACATTTAATTATTAATCTTCTTCTTTGTTCTTAATTTTAGTGTTGGAAGAGATTCCCTCCAACTTAGTATTATGTGTCAACTTCTTGTGTGCCATACAGGCAGTTAACTCTGATTTCAGCGTGCTTTTCTTATTTATTAATGATTGAAAGCATCCTATAACTATATATTCAGAAAATATCATCAAGGCACACTTGAAGTATTATTTCTGTCTTAGAAAAAAACTTACTTGGAGGTGGAAATAACAATTTTCTATCAAATTTCAATGTTAAATACTTCAACTTAAATATGAACATTCCTTGTTATAATAATAGAAAATCTAACACTGTAACTAGTTTGACTGTTATGATGATGTAACAGTAACTGATGTGTATGGATGTGATAACAAATCTGTTGTACTTGTAACATATCTTTTACCTGGTGATGTAAATATTTGTGGTGTTATACTTGTAATAACGAAGCAAAGAAGCTGCATAGAAGCACATACACACATTACATGCCACTACAAAATAAACACTCGTCGCTTTTCCTTATGTAGTATTAGGTGAAGGGGTTAAAGGTTAACAGCTTGCTCATTTCCTGTTTCACAACTAAGCTCTAAAATATATGATGTTCTGCTTCGTGATTTTGTCTATAACTGTCAAGCACGCTGCCATAATTGTTGAAATTTATACTGCCTGTCACCATTGTGTTCAGTGTTTAAGTATAATATTTTTTGTGTTTGTCTCATTCTTGGTATGGCTTCACTATAAACATACTGCTCATCTTGAGCTTACATTGCACTCTATCAGCATTTTAAAAAGCTGACATTTATATTCTGTCAGTAATATTGTTACTAATTATGTGAGGCTAATTTTGTTACTAATTTTGTGTTACTAATTATCCAATTTTTCAAAAAACAGGGCAAAACACAATTATGAAATTTGTTTCAATGTTATTTCCAAAATATTTGTTGTATCTTATTGTAATACTTTTGGAGTCTAAACATTTGTGTGAGGACAAAGAATAATGTACAGCCATCACTGTCCTTACACAATCTATTGCTTAAGTCACTTTTTTCAAGGTATAGATCACACACTTCTATATGATAGGATATCTGTTGATATGATAAACAAATTAAAAATATTTTAAAAATACAATTCCACTCCAATATAATTTAAATAACATCATTTTTATGACTTGGGCAATTATTAGATTAGTGGTGTTTTTAAAGTGAAAAATTGGTATGTAAAAGGTTTAATTAGTTAAAAAACTATTAATTCTTTTAGAAGAGAAATATAACATTAGAAAAAAAATATTTGTGAAATTGGACGCTTGATATAAAATTAAATTAGCATAAGTGCAAGTCATATGTAGTAGGTGGAACGTAATTGTGAAATTCCTGAAATTTATTTTATTTTTCATCAACAGAGAGCAGATGGACAAGGCTCTACAGAAGCTTAGAGATGAGGTCAGCAATTTACAGAAGGAAGAGCAGGAGAAACTGGAGGAAGAGAAGAAGAAAGCTCTGGAGAAGTTAGCTAAGCAGGTGAGTTTTGTTAACAAACTTCAGTGTTAGAGAAGTTAGCTAAGCAGGTGAGTTTTGTTAACAGACTTCAGTTCTAGAGAAGTTAGCTAAACAGGTGAGTTTTGTTAAAATTAACAAACTTCAATTCTAGAGAAATTAGCTAAACAGGTGAGTTTTGTTAACAGACTTCAGTGTTAGAGAAGATATGTAAGCAGGTGAGAATTGTTAACAAACTTCAGTTCTAGAGAAGTTAGCTAAGCAGGTGAGTTTTGTTAACAATCTTCAATTCTAGAGATTTTATGTAAGCAGGTGAGTTTTGTTAAAATTAACAAACTTCAATTCTAGAGAAATTAGCTAAGCAGGTGAGTTTTGTTAACAAACTTCAGTGTTAGAGAAGATATGTAAGCAGGTGAGAATTGTTAACAAACTTCAGTTCTAGAGAAGTTAGCTAAGCAGGTGAGAATTGTTAACAAACTTCAGTTTTAGAGAAGTTAGCTAAGAAGGTGAGAATTGTTAACAAACTTCAGTTCTAGAGATTTTATGTAAGCAGGTGAGAATTGTTAACAGACTTCAATTCTAGAGGAGTTATGTAAGCAGGTGAGAATTGTTAACAAACTTCAGTTCTAGAGAAGTTAGCTAAGCAGGTGAGTTTTGTTAACAGACTTCAGTTCTAGAGAAGTTAGCTAAGCAGGTGAGAATTGTTAACAAACTTCAGTTCTAGAGAAGTTATGTAAGCAGGTTAGAATTTTTAACAAACTTCAGTTCTAGAGATTTTATGTAAGCAGGTGAGAATTGTTAACAAACTTCAGTTCTAGAGAAATTATGTAAGCAGGTTAGAATTTTTAACAAACTTCAGTTCTAGAGAAATTATGTAAGCAGGTGAGAATTGTTAACAAACTTCAGTTCTAGAGAAGTTATGTAAGCAGGTGAGAATTGTTAGCAAACTTTAGTTAATAGCTTGAGAGAAGTTATGTTAGCAGGTAAGAATTGTTAAAAATACTTCAGTTAGTAGCTTTAGGGAATTTATCTAAGTAAATGAGAAGTGTAAAAAAAAACGAGTTAGTAAAATTTTTTGAAAAGATGAGTAGTGTTGAAATACTTCAATTTGTAGTAGCTCGAGAGAAGTGAGTTTTCTAATGTGAGTAAAGTTGTCAAATGTTTTAAATTATTACTTTAATTTAAGGTTGACAACATGATTGCGTCTGAGAAAGCCAAGCTTGAGGATGAGCAGAAAATTCAGGTGGACTCCCTGCGCAAGAAACACGACTCCGAGATAGAGAGGCTGCGCCAGGAGCTGGACCGGCGGCACAAGGAGAGGCAAGACAGCCTGCGGTCTGAGCTAGCAGAGACCCACAAACAGGTTGGAGTGGAGTCTTAGCTCCTTGAGTTATTAACATTGTCCAACTTTGGGTGTTTTTGCCAGAATCAGTTTTTCAATTTGTTCGTAATAAGATGTTTTACTTTAAATGAATTGCTGATTGACATGAAATTGTTTTTGTTGAGGTTGTAATAGTTTTTAGCGCAATTTCCATTCTGGAGAATTGCGTTTATTAACCCGTCATTTCTGGATGTATGAATGTATGGATGGATGGATGGATGTGTGTCCGCAGCTTTAAGTCGTATCTCCTCCTCAACGAAGCAATATCGATGACTAGTTCCAAAAGCAATTATGTTAAGCAAGTTACGAGGATGAACATAGGCCATAAAAATTACGGGTTTCTTTCATGGATTTCCCGGAAAAGCCAAAAAACCTCGAAAAAAAGCAGTTTTTGGCCCATATCTCGGCAACCAGACCACTAAGCGACTTGAAACATGTACCAATCGATTCCTGCCATAATTTAGAACAATATTGCCGAAGAAAGTTTTCAAAAATATCCTTTCGTTCGGTCACAAAATTTTTTTTGAATTAATTAAAATTTGAACCGAATTAGTAGGCATTTTTTCCAACCACACCACACGCGTCATCACGTTCAATAGCTGCGCCATTGCGTTCCATGGCTGCGCCATCACGTTCAGTAAGCGCAATGGTTTTTAGTCATGTAACTCTATTGTAAATATAACATGTAAAATACTGAAAAAAATTAATAAAAAACGTTTAAATAACTAACCAATGGTTTTACTAACCCTGCTCTTGATTTACGCTACGACATAGCTATTTTTAGATAACATAAGGAAATTGTGCTAAAATTGTCACTAGACTTTTTAATTACCTTGTTTGTAAGTGTTGTGTCAAATATTTCTTGTGTGTTTCTTGATATATCCTGTGTTGTATTAGATATTTTCTGTATTGTTACTGTGTTTTATTAGATATTTTCTGTGTGTAGTATTCGATATTTCCTATGTTGTATTAAATACGGTCTGTATTGTATTAGACATTTAATGCGTGTATTAGATATTTCCTGTGTGTTGTATTACATATTTCCTGGGTGTTTAATTAGATATATCTTGGGTGTGGTATTAGATACTTCCTGTGTATTGTATTAGATATTACCTATAATTTCTTGTAAGACTTATTTTCTAGTTCACCTAGATATTTTGTTTTATCTGCTAAGGTTAGCTCTAACTTTAATATTTTTGTATTGCACTTATTTAAACACCCAATCCAAACATCTAGGTTGTTGCTGTCTAACTTTTGGTAAAAAGATATGGCATATGTTATGTTGATAGTTGTTAAGTCTTCTATGTCAAAGTTCAGGGAGGGTATATGTTGGAGTTAGTATTTGTTAAGTGTTCAATGATCTACAGTTGTATTGGTTTCTTGAGAAAATATCAAAGCTGAAGGGGTGTATATATTGGTATTTGTTGAGTTTTCAATGTTGTTGAGTCATCTATGTTTATTGATCTACAATTGTCTTGATGTTTTTAGCAAATGTCAAAGTTGAGGGAGGAGCTAATCAAACTACAAGAAGAGGAAAAAGAAACAGAAGAGCATGAACTCAAAGCTGCCAGAGAAAGACAAAAAGCCATCAATGACTTGGAGAAAGGAGTAAGGAATTTTCTTTTATATTATTGTCCACACTTTAATATACTTCTTCATTCTTTTGTAAGTATGTATTTCTTAAAATTGTGTCTAAGTCAGTATAAATAAGTTAAGTCCCATTTTTGAAGATGGTACATAGGGAGGAATAGTTTGTTCAGCACTCAGGGATATTCTACAGCCGTGAACCTGGATTTGAACTTGAGACTTTTGGGTTAGCAGTCTTTTTGTCTAGTGCTCTACCACTAGGCCACGCCATCCCAATTTAAGTCAGTATGGGTTATTGGAATTGGTTAAGGGTTTGTAGAACTAGAAGTGCTACTTGAGTCAGTGATAATTTGGAATGGAACATGAGTGAGTGATTGTTTAGAATGTGACTCAAGTTTTGACAGTTGGGACATGTTTTAAAATCTTCAGATGGGTGAGACTTTGAGTGATAATTTGGAATGGAACATGAGTGAGTGATTGTTTAGAATGTGACTCAAGTTTTGACAGTTGGGACATGTTTTAAAATCTTCAGATGGGTGAGACTTTGAGTGATAATATGGAATGTCACATGAGTGAGTGATTGTTTAGAATGTGACTCAAGTTTTGACAGTTGGGACATGTTTTAAAATCTTCAGATGGGTGAGACTTTGAGTGATAATATGGAATGTCACATGAGTGAGTGATTGTTTAGAATGTGACTCAAGTTTTGACAGTTGGGACATGTTTTAAAATCTTCAGATGGGTGAGACTTTGAGTGAGCGCACAGCTAACCTGAAACAGGAACATAAAAAACAGCTGGCCAACCTCAGCAAGGAACATGAAGAGCAGCTCCGCAAACTGAAGGAACAGTATAAAGAGAAGGTAACTAGAGTTTATAGAAGGCTAACTACAGTTTAAAGAGAAGGTAACTAGAGTTTATAGAAGGCTAACTACAGTTTAGTTTAAAGAGGAGGTAACTACAGTATAAAGAGAAGGTAACTAGAGTTTATAGAAGGTTAACTACAGTTTAAAGAGAAGGTAACTACAGTATAAATAGAAGGTAACTAGAGTTTATAGAAGGCTAACTACAGTTTAGTTTAAAGAGGAGGTAACTACAGTATAAAGAGAAGGTAACTAGAGTTTATAGAAGGTTAACTACAGTTTAAAGAGAAGGTAACTACAGTATAAATAGAAGGTAACTAGAGTTTATAGAAGGTTAACTACAGTTTAAAGAGAAGGTAACTACAGTATAAAGAGAAGGTAACTACAGTATAAAGAGAAGGTAACTAGAGTTTATAGAAGGCTAACTACAGTTTAAAGAGGAGGTAGCTACAGTATAAAGAGAAGGTAACTATAGTATAAAGAGAAGGTAACTATAGTTTATAGAAGGTTCTTCTTCTTCGTTCTTAATTTTTAGTGTTGAAGGGGATCGAGATTTATCTGCCAGTGGGTTTGAACTCGAGACTTTGTTCGAATTTATCAACCATGAGCTTTTTGCCGACTCGACCACGCCTCCAACACAATTAAGCGTTACGTGTCAACTGGTTATGCGCCATTGAGGCCATTGACTCCGATTTCAGCCTGCTTTTCTTTTTGGATTTGCTTCCATAGCCTTTGTCCAACCAAGAACAAACTACAAGGCAGCAGTTGTTTAATTTTGGAGTTGTCTCTCCTAGAAGAGTTGCTGTCCCCAGCTAACGAGCCTCATCTGCCCGAGGGTTCGAACTCGAGACTTTTCGGTATAGCAACCATGAGCTTTACCGACTCGACCACGCCGACCCCTTATAGAAGGTTAACTACAGTTTAAAGAGAAGGTAACTATAGTTTAAAGAGGAGGTAGCTGCAGTATAAAGAGAAGGTAACTAGAGTTTATAGAAGGTGAACTACAGTTTTAAGAAAAGGTAACTACAGTATTTTGAGAAGGTAAATACAGCTTAAAGAGGAGGTAATAAAGTTTAAAGAGAAGGTAACTATAGTATAAAGAGGAGGCAATTACAGTTTTAAGAGAATGTAACTTCAGTTTAAAGAGAAGGTAAATACAGTTAAATAAGTAGGTATCTTGATAGTTTGAATGTATAGACAGCCATCAGCATATCTAGTTCTAGTACTACCAGGTATTACCACTGACAATGACATAACTCCTTTTTGCTCTGAGTGCCAGGTCTTAAAAAATAACGTCATTGTTTGGAAGTGGAAAACATTTTTTTATTACAATGATTAAAACTTTGTATTTGTCATCAGATAAGTCAAACATAAAGTTTGTATTGAAAATGTGTCACATTTTTAAGTATGATTTGAACATTAAAATTATAATATCCGTAATTTTATACCCCCCCCCCCCACAGATTCAAATAGAGCAGGATAATCTGGCAGCCGAGCTAGAGAAAGAGAAGGCACTGCTGCAGCGCCAGCATGATAAAGAGGTGGAGGAAATCAAGAAGAATTTTCAGATTAAGAAGGAAAGTTTGCAGGATCAGCTGGACGATGAGGTAGGTAGACATTTTAAATTTTATGGTTGATAGTCTTGAGGTTTATGTTTAGTTTAGGGTAGGGAAGTCATTTTATGTTTAGATTAGGATATAGGTAGTGTCATTGTTTGATAGTCATATGGTTTATGTTTAGTTTTAAGTAGTCATTTTATGTTTAGATGAATATATAGTTAGTGTCATTATCTAGATTGAATGTTCATATTTTCTCTATTTAGATTAGGATATAGATAAAGTCACTGTCTAGATTAGGATATTAAAATGGTCCCTAGCTAAAGTCACTGTCTAGTATTTAATTAGGATATTTATATGTTCCTATTAGATAGAAATTTACATTCAAATGACAGGTGTAATAAAGTTAAATTTGATTTCTCAAGAGTCAACAAAACAGCCCAACATTTTTATGTTCCCAAACACAAACACTGCAAATTATTTTCTCAAACACCACAACTATTGTTACTATCTGTTTTTATTGTCTAAAAAATGAAAAGTTCCAAAGGATTTTTGACTTAAATAACACAAGTTTCAAGCACTGATTTCTGGTTTTATTTCTAACACAACAGGAAGAAGAACTGAAAGAAAAAAAGGCTGACATTGAAAGGAAAGCAAGTTATGTTGAAAAGGCTTTAAAATCTATTGAATCTCAGGTATCTTTGAATTTTTCATTTGCTTTGTTTATATTATATTTTGTCTAGTTCTATCAGTTCTTGTTCATAATACCCATAGTTAGATATATTAAAGCAAGATGATAATACTGTGTAGTTACTTAGATACTGAGTATGACTCGTCATCTGTATGATTATATTGTTGACATGTATTTTGCAGGAAAAATTGTTGGAAGAAAGAAGAAAAAAATTTGCTGCAGATAAAGAGAGGTTGGAACAAGATCATGATGTGGGTAGTTTGGTCATTTTCTTTTTTTCGTTTTTCTTTTTCTTTTGGGATATTATTATCCTACATAAAATAATAAAAAGAACTTCTTAATTATATAAAATACAAGCCGACCCGCGACATATCATATGCCGCTATTTAGTTGTTTTATTTTCTACTTTTCAGTAATTCATAATTTATGAATTCAACAGTACCAATGCTGCCACTGAAAATAAATATTTGCTTTAAAACACTATCAGTAGGTCGTTAAGGACGTTACCCCCCCCCCTTCCCCCCCCCCCCCCCCCCCCCGTGAAAGCAGCCTCCTCTTAGTTACCTCCCCTAAGTTTAAAATCGTTTCAAACTAAATTTTGGTGTTTCCTAGGGTATCCAAGAAGAGAATTATATATATATCTTAAAATTATTAAATATTAGTTATTAGTTGAATTTTAGAAACACAAGCCTCAACATTTCTTAAACAGGAAGCTTTAGGTGCAAAAGTTTCTTCCCTTGGAGCAGCAGAACTTGAAAGGATGAGAGAAGAGAGGAGACAACTACTACAGGAGCTGAGAGAAGAACAAGGGAAGCTAGACACTACCAAGCAGGAGAGGAAAGGCTTGGAAGGGGAGGTCATCAAGTTGAAAATGTCTAGAGACCAACAGAATAAAAAACTGATGTAAGACAATATCTTTTTTTCTGTTAAACTTCTTTTTTTTTTTACTTCTCTTCAATGTTTTGTTTCATTTTATTCTGTGCAAGTTTTTCTATTATTAATATTTTTTTGTTATGATTACTGTTTTATATCGATTTAAAATTTCATTTAGCATCGAGAATTAATATTTTAATTGAGAACTCTTTTAAGTACTTCATTCACAAATGAGCTCAGATTGTCACAATGTAAATTGAGCTTGTTTCAATTATAATAATAAGTAACATAAGTGGTTTACAATTTATTTGGTTTTTTAGAGAAAAAAAATTGTTTAAAATCATTTATTTAATAATAAAAATAATAGCTTCTTTCAGAACTTTGGGTAGAATGATTAAAAAAATGTTAGGTGCAACTAACTTTTTAACACCTATTTAAGTTAATTAGCCACTTGTATGTAAAATAAAACAGCTTTGTTTTTATAAATTTATGCAGGGAGATAAGAGGAAGGGTTGAACAAAAACTCAAAGAATTTGAAAACCTTCAAGACAAGTTTGAGAAAGAAACAGATAAAGCTAGTTTCCTTAGAGCGGAGAGTTCTCGTGCTGCCCCTTCAGCGTCTGCTTCTCCTACCAAACTTAGCATGACTGACCTCCAGACCAGCCCATTTCGGGATAATTTATTACGGGTCACAGATGATTTCGAGGATGATTTCGATTTAGGTTGGTTTAATATCTTTTATAAATTATGAAAATAACACCACAGATTCCAGAGTTACACTTAGTAATCAGATTTAACTTATATTGAACAAAATAATTGAAAAATTTAGAAAAGTGTAGGACAAACAAATCATTTTTTTTATTTCCTTAACAAACTTGAGAATAACAAAAATAAAATAGATAATCAAAATTTTACAAAGCTTTTGTTAATAATGTTGATTTGTCAGTATTTTATATGGTATAATCTAACCAAAATAAATGTTATTACAGTGTCTTTTAGTGTAAGGGTGAAAGACATTGACAGATGTATGGTATTTTTATTGCATGATTTGTTTCTCAGAGTAGCCTAGACTAAAAATATGTGGTATTAGAATTATATGATTACATACACTGGATCTGAATTTTATTCTTCAATTTTCAGGTTTATCTAAACCCAAGACCTTGCTGAGGGTAAGTGAACTAGATAATTGATTTTTTTTTAAACAATATAAATAGTGAATAACAAGCATGTTTTAGGAAATAGTGTAGTCTTTGTGATAGATCAATCTTATAATTGTTAATATTTAAACATGTGTAAACAGCTGCTTTATCACATTTTTATTTTGTGATATGTAGAAAATATGTAAATAGCTGCCTTACCACAATTATGTTTAGCAATATGTAGAAAATATTGAGTAAATAGCTGCTTACAAACCACTGGCTTGATCACCTTGACCTTGTGCCCACAGCCTGGGGTGTCATGGCAAGATATTCTAGCAGCAGATGATGATTGGCTGGAACCCAGCATTATTGGCACAGAAAAAAGGTTGGTGGAAGAAGTTTTTGGTGGGGAACTGTGTATGTTTTTTTGAGTTGGAAGAATTTCTCTAGGTTACATTTTACATCTTAATTTTTATTGCGCAAGGGGAGATTGGGGTAGGGGTCAGGGGAGAGAATGAGAGGAAGATAATTGAACCATTTCAGAATAATTAGCTAACATTTTTTATTCATATTTTGTTATACTTGCAAAAATTATTTTATTGAAAGATTTTATTTATTTATTTTTCCAAAGTAATATTTCAGAATAATATGTTGAAGACACCTTTTTGTTTAATTTAAAAAACAAATCTCATATTACTGCTGTTACACATTAAAAAATGTATTCCTTTACATTTAAAAAAAAATGTCAATTTTGTATAGAATAACTTCATTTTAGAAAAATGTGTTTGTTTGTTAAAATGATCATTTGAATAATTTTTAAAACGAGCCGACCCGCAGCGTATAATACGCCGCTATTTAGTTGTTTTATTTTCTACTTTTCAGTAATTCATATTTTGTAAATTCGACAGTACCAATGCTGCCACTGAAAATATTTGCTTTAAAACACTAACCCCCCCCCCCCTTTCCCCTAACCCCGACCCTACACCAACCCCCCCCCCCCCCCCGTGAAAGCAGCCTCCTCTTAGTTATTTCTTAGTTACCTCCTGTAGGTTTAAAATCGAACTAAATTATCTGCCCATAATAGAAACCCGGCTCTACGGCTCTACGATTTGTAAACATTTAGCTTTGTAAAACTTTAGAGTGAACACCGCTCACCAGACAATGTTGGGGTGGGGTGGGGGGTGGTAGTAATAGCGATAGAGAGAAAGAGAGGGGACTGCAAGGAGGCGCTTGCAGCTTGTTTTCTAACTGATCCCAGAAGAGAATTATATATATAGATGTTCTCGTTTGAGTTATGTCCCCTTACATTTACAGGGGCATGAAAGAACACCTGGCCAAAGAAGGGCAGACAATAGCCAGAGCTAAAGCCTTTCTAAAGAAACAGAGGAAGACATTGAAACAGAGACAGTCAGCCCTAGCCGCAGCCAAACAAGAGCTGGTGAAAGATTCAAGAAGGGTTCATGGGGTAAGTGTCAAAGTTGCACTGTGTTGTAGAATTATGCACTCTTGGTATTGGACTGCACTTCCCTTACAGTTACAGTTTAGTTGTATTTGAGGGAAGCACTAGACTGCTAACCTGAAAACCTTGAGTTTGAGTCTGTGCTCAATTTGGTAGAATATCCCTGAGTCCACTCAGCTCTGATGGGTACCTTACTCAAGTTAGTGATAGTAAAGACGGATGGGCAAAGTACTGACTCTACTTCACTTGCCCCATGGCAGGTTCAAAAAAGGAACTCTTTACTTTCTACAACTTCACCATGTCATTTCATGGTGTGAAAATTTTATTCTTGAATACTTTAAAAAAAAAATTTGTGAAGGTTGACAAAACTTTGTTCACAACATTTTTTTGTGTACTTGTCAGAATCTGTCAGAGCGGGGAGCTGAGCTGTTGGATGAGGTGAGACAGACCCTAGAGAAGGAAACCCATCAGCTGGATGCCCTCCAGTCACATGTCAACTCAGGGTCAAGGCTGGTCAAGCAGAAGGAGGAGAAGCTGCATGAGATGGAAGAGTTAGTGAAAGATGTGAGTCTTGTCCACTTTAGCTTTATAGTGGTATACGCTTCTTTATGTTGTGCTACTGTTTTAACAATTAGATATTTATGATAATTTTTGTGAATTTAATCTGGTCTTGATTTCACATATTATATGCTGTTCAGTTGAAGAATTACATTAACAGTAAATTTATAAATAAAAACCCACCTGTACACGTTTGGACTATATGGGTAATAGGACAGAAGAAGTAGAGTTCACCTGATTCTGTACAATTTGATGAATTGTATGGTCTGCTAATTTTTTTTTACGTTTCCTGACTTGGATCTAGAATATATCAGTGTGGGATGGACTCAGGAACATTCTACAGACCTACCCAGAAGCCTATTTTGATACTTGTAGTTATTTATATTTTAATTTGAATCTGGATGCAATGTTTACCTTGTACCATTCCAGAACGATAGTGAGGATGAATCAGAGTATTCCCCCTTTGCAAGGCCCTGGAAAAGCTCCAAACTTCCCAACCTTGACATTAGTGATGATGAAAGCAGTGGCATCAGTAGCTCTAATGCCAGTTTGGAGAGTTTTTTATACGGTAAAACAAGTTTTAATAAGTCTCTCTCTTTGTTGTGTTTCTGTGGCGTTTACATGAGGTTAAATAAAGTTTCTAACGGATCTCTTTGTTATGTGTGTTTCTGTGTCTTTGACATGAGTAATTTACATGGAACATTATTTTAACATTTATTCTAATATTCTGATTATTTTCAAAATTCTAAGAAAAAATAATTGTGATTTTCTTTATAAATATTTTTTGGAATTAAAATAAAATAATTTTCACTTATTTATAGAAATAAAATGTTTTTTCACCTCAAATTTCCATTAAATTTTTTTTTCAACCACAGGTAATAACAGGTACACATCAGCTCCAGCATATCGCACTCCATCACCCAGGGGTGATGACCTCTCACGAGCCCTCCACAAAATCAACACAGAGCTCTCACGGGTTTTAAACTACATTGACAAAGACAGCGAACAAGTCACAGGTAAAGGCTAACACAGTAACTTGTAGTGGGTTTTACAAAGACTGAACAAGTCACAGGTAAAGGCTAACACAGTACCTTGTAGTGGGTTTTACAAAGACAGTGAACAAATCGCAGGTAAAACTATCTCACTAGCTTGTGGTGGGTTTTACAAAGACAGTGAGCAACTCACAGGTAAAATCAACTCACTAGTAGTTGGTTTTACAAAGACAGTGAGCAACTCACAGGTAAAATCAACTCACTAGTAGTTGGTTTTACAAAGACAGTGAGCAACTCACAGGTAAAATCAACTCACTAGTAGTTGGTTTTACAAAGACAGTGAGCAACTCACAGGTAAAATCAACTCACTAGTAGTTGGTTTTACAAAGACAGTGAGCAACTCACAGGTAAAATCAACTCACTAGTAGTTGGTTTTACAAAGACAGTGAGCAACTCACAGGTAAAATCAACTCACTAGTAGTTGGTTTTACAAAGACAGTGAGCAAGTCACAGGTAAAATCAACTCACTAGTAGTTGGTTTTACAAAGACAGTGAGCAAATCACAGGTAAAATCAACTCACTAGTAGTTGGTTTTACAAAGACAGTGAGCAACTCACAGGTAAAATCAACTCACTAGTAGTTGGTTTTACAAAGACAGTGAGCAAGTCACAGGTAAAATCAACTCACTAGTAGTTGGTTTTACAAAGACAGTGAGCAAATCACAGGTAAAATCAACTCACTAGTAGTTGGTTTTACAAAGACAGTGAGCAACTCACAGGTAAAATCAACTCACTAGTAGTTGGTTTTACAAAGACAGTGAGCAAATCACAGGTAAAATCAACTCACTAGTAGTTGGTTTTACAAAGACAGTGAGCAAATCACAGGTAAAATCAACTCACTAGTAGTTGGTTTTACAAAGACAGTGAGCAACTCACAGGTAAAATCAACTCACTAGTAGTTGGTTTTACAAAGACAGTGAGCAAGTCACAGGTAAAATCAACTCACTAGTAGTTGGTTTTACAAAGACAGTGAGCAACTCACAGGTAAAATCAACTCACTAGTAGTTGGTTTTACAAAGACAGTGAGCAAATCACAGGTAAAATCAACTCACTAGTAGTTGGTTTTACAAAGACAGTGAGCAACTCACAGGTAAAATCAACTCACTAGTAGTTGGTTTTACAAAGACAGTGAGCAAATCACAGGTAAAATCAACTCACTAGTAGTTGGTTTTACAAAGACAGTGAGCAACTCACAGGTAAAATCAACTCACTAGTAGTTGGTTTTACAAAGACAGTGAGCAAGTCACAGGTAAAATCAACTCACTAGTAGTTGGTTTTACAAAGACAGTGAGCAAATCACAGGTAAAATCAACTCACTAGTAGTTGGTTTTACAAAGACAGTGAGCAACTCACAGGTAAAATCAACTCACTAGTAGTTGGTTTTACAAAGACAGTGAGCAAATCACAGGTAAAATCAACTCACTAGTAGTTGGTTTTACAAAGACAGTGAGCAAATCACAGGTAAAATCAACTCACTAGTAGTTGGTTTTACAAAGACAGTGAGCAACTCACAGGTAAAATCAACTCACTAGTAGTTGGTTTTACAAAGACAGTGAGCAAGTCACAGGTAAAATCAACTCACTAGTAGTTGGTTTTACAAAGACAGTGAGCAAATCACAGGTAAAATCAACTCACTAGTAGTTGGTTTTACAAAGACAGTGAGCAAATCACAGGTAAAATCAACTCACTAGCTTGTAGTTGGTTTTACAAAGACAGTGAGCAAGTCACAGGTAAAACTATCTCACTAGCTTGTAGTGGGTTTCATTGAGTCAATATGATGTTACAATTTGTAACCTTTGTTCTCATTCCTTCACCCACCAATGTAAAGGTTTGTCTTGTCCTCCTACAGACCGGGCCACTGTTCCCTACCCAACTTCAAGCCACCTCTACTCTAATCTACCTGAAAAATCTGTTTGGTCACCACATCCTCCACAGGGGTAGGTACAATATTCTTTAATTCACAATCTATATTGATAGGCTGAAAAATAATCTATATATATAATTCTCTTCTGAGAGACGTTAGAAAACAAGCTGTAAGCGCGCTCCCTACCACCCCACCCCCCACATGGTCTGATGAGCTGTGGTTCACGCTAAATGTTTACGTTTGTGGAGCTGGGTTTAGTGACGGCTATTAGGGGCAGATAATTTAGTTTGAAACTATTTTAACTTAGGTGAGGTAACTAAGAGGAGGCTGCTTTCACAGGGAGGGGGGGGGGGGGGGGGAAAGGAGGGGGGGGTAGTATGGTTCTTAACGACCTACTGATAGTGTTTTAAAGCAAATATTTTCAGTGGCAGCATTGGTGCTGTCGAATTCACAAATTATGAATTACTGAAAAGTAGAAAATAAAACAACTAAATAGCGGCGTATGATATGCCGCGGGTCGGCTCGTTTAAAATATTGCTTTAAAACTAATTACTTGAGTTAAATACTGGTATACTTTAGAAAGCGTACAATGTCAGTTTTATTTAATTTACACTAAACGTAATTTTCTAATTTAGAATTCATTTAAAAAACTACAGGACTATTAAATTTACACTAAACATTAAAAAAACCATGCTGGGCTAAGGTGGTTTTTAAATGTAACAAAGGCTCGGCGTGGCTGAGTCGGTAAAACTCATGGTTGCTAAACCAAAAAATCTTGAGTTCAAACTCTCTGGCAGATGAGGCTCTATAGCTGGGGACAGCCACTCTTCTAGGAGAAACAAGTCCAAAACCTTGTAGTTAGTTCTTGGTTGGACAAATGCTATGAAGGCAAATCCAAAAAGAAAAGCAGGCCGAAATTGGAATCAGCAGCCTAAGTTGCACACAACCAGTTGACATGTATACTTAATTGTGTTAGAGGGGATCCCTTCCAACACTAAAATTAAGAACAAAGATGAAGAAATAAAACAAACTTTTTAATAATTATACCTTGTTTTAAATGTAATTTACTGACTTAAGTTTTAAAATTTTCATAATTTTGAGTTAAATGACCATCATTGGTATCAAATGACCATCATATCCCACAGGCCAGCACCTAGGAACTACTCATCACTTGTTTACACAGCTGAGCAGTCGCTAGAGAGGAAGTGGAAGAAATATTTTGGGGGTGAGTTGATTAAAGTAGATAGTCTGGTGGTGATTAAAATAGATAATCTGGTGGTCAGGTGATTAAAATAAATAATCTGATGGTGAGTTGATTAAAATAGATAATCTGGTGGTGAGTTGATTAAAATAGATAATCTGGTGGTGAGTTGATTAAAATAGATAATCTGGTGGTGAGTTGATTAAAATAGATAATCTGGTGGTGAGTTGATTAAAATAGATATTCTAATGGTGGTGATTAAAATAGATGTTCTGGGGTTAAATGATTAAAATAGATATTCTGGTGGTGAGGTGATTAAAATAAATTTTTTAAATATTCTACATAAGTTGTTATTTACTTTCTATTATTAAAGTATTATTACTTAAATTGTAACTTTAAGCAGAAAGTGATATTAAAAAAAACCAGAAAATTTTACTGACCATATTTTCAACAGAACACAGACCTCCATTTACTGCAGGACCGTCCTACTTCACCCCTTCTCAGGGCTATGGGCACACATCATTGTCTGTTAGGTAATAATCTAAAGACTTAACAATTTTCACTTTTTTAATGAGTTATTGTATGAAGGTAAAATAAGAAACACAAATGCTTCTTTATGTAATTTGATAGTCCATGTATTGTGGGGATGGCATGGTCTAGCAGTAGAACGTTTATCTTCTAAACTGAAAGTCATGAGTTTAGAACCCATGACACAACTGCCCCTTTAGGCAATACTTTGTGGTGCAACAATGCCTTGGGCGAGGAAGCAAAAAATCGAGCAGAAATGCATTGGTCTAGTGGCTGGTAACAAGGGTGAGATTTTTCACCTTGTTTAAGCTTGCCTGGTTAGTTGCTTGAGCTAGTTATGAGACAAAATCTATGTACCAGAGACAGGGGAAGGTGGGAGGGAGGGAAGGAAGGAGAGAGAGTTCCTAAGTCAAAGAGAAAGAATTGAGTTGTTTATCCCTGTGAAAGGGTTCTACTTGAAGTGTAGTACCCTTCTGTCTTTACCTACCCCAACTAGTCTAGTTCACTCATAACTGGGTGCATTATGTACAAGTTTCTATTGCATTGTTAGTGGACAGGTGAATAGTGTTATAAAAAAAAGTACTATAATAGAAGATCAAATTAAATCATGTATTTCGAAGTACCATGAATTATATTATTATGGGGCGGCATGGTCAAATGGTAGAGTATATGACTGCTAGCCTAAAAGTCTTGAAATCAAATCCGGGAGTCTGTTGAAAATCCCTGTGTTAGGAAAAGTAAAGGTGGCTGGGCATAGTGCTGACTACACTATCCTTGTATATGCAGAGGTCACAGAAACAGATCTTCTTCTTCTTCTTCGTTCTTAATTATTAGTGTACTAATGAAGGGGATCGAGATTTATCTGCCAGTGGGTTTGAACTCAAGACTTTGTTCGAATTTATCAACCATGAGCTTTTATCGACTCGACCACGCCTCCAACACAATTAAGCGTTACGTGTCAACTGGTTATGCACCATTGAGGCCATTGACTCCGATTTCAGCCTGCTTTTCTTTTTGGATTTGCTTCCATAGCCTTTGTCCAACCAAGAACAAACTACAAGGCAGCAGTTGTTTAATTTTGGAGTTGTCTCTCCAAGAAGAGTGGCTGTCCTCAGCTAACGAGCCTCATCTGCCCGAGGGTTCGAACTCGAGACTTTTCGGTTTAGCAACCATGAGCTTTACCGACTCGACCATGCCGATCCCCTACAGAAACAGATGGATTCTACTCCACTTTCACCATGGAGTGTCAGACCCGAAAAGGAACTTGTGCTATATTTTTATATTTGTGTATGATCAGGGACAGACATATCCACATGAACCTGTTGGAGCCGCGCCCCTCCCCCTCCATCCAGACCCAGCTGGCAGAACAGAAGGAGTGGCTCAAGCAGCACCACAACAGGCTGGAGAGTGTGGGGCCCTCAGTTAACAACACGGCCTTGTGGGAGACTGGATCTGTGTATCCTTTTGTCTGTGGCCATCAGTAGTTTGTGAAACTTTGGGGGGGGGGGGGGGGGGGAGGGTCATCAACAGTTTGTGAAACTTTGTGTGTGTGTGGGGGGGGGGGGTCATCAACAGTTTGTGAAACTTTGTGTGTGGGGGGGGGGGGTCATTAGTAGTTTGTAAAACTTTTTTGGGATCAATAGCAGTTAGTGAAACTTTAGGAGGGAGGGTCATTAGTAATTTGTAAAACTTAAGGGGGTCATTAGCAGGTTTGTAAAACTTTAGGCAGTCACCAGTTGGTCTTTGTGAAACATTAAGGGGGGTAGGGGGGGATCACTGTGAAACTTAAATTTGGGAAAATTGTAGTTAAACATGATGTTTTTAGGTTTGTATTCTCTTAAAAACCTAATATGTGTGTAAATCAAGTTATACTTTCATTTAATGTGTTAAGTAAGTAGGAAACATCTGTTGGCTAATGTTTATTTTAGCCAGATTTATTAAGTTTTTAATTTGATTTGGCATAAATATAGCAAATTTATTTGGCAGATTTTATCATCGTGCACAATTATTCACCCTAGGTTTTAATCGATACATTTTATTTAGGCTGATTGAAGCCAGTTACAAAGTGATAAAATTGTTAACATGATGTTAAGTTGCTTCCCTTAACTTCAATGTTAGACTGAGTACCTAAAATTGATTATCCATTTATATGACTAATAATTTTATCATACATTTATAAAACACATGCCAAAATATTTTCTTTAGAAGTTTTAAAATCAAAACTATTGTGTACTAAATGCAATCGTATTTTGTGTTGCATTATCTGGCCACTTGATAATTTCACTTTAAGTTGTTTCCCTTAACTTCAATGTTAGACTGAGTACTGGTGCACTGACAGACGGACGGAAAGATGTGCCTGGAGTGTCCACCCCTCCCAGGTACGGTTCCAACATTAGACTGGAGCTGGATGACAAAGATGAAATACGAGTCCGGCACTATTGATACTGTGTGTATTAATAATCCTATTATACTCATCAGATATTCTTTAGTACGATGCCAAGCAAAAAATATTTTTACCGAAGAAAATATTTTTAGTGTGATGTAAAACGTTTTTTGTAAATAGTACTGTATTATACTATTACAAAAAATTTACCTCTGAATGGATCTTATGCACTTAAAGGTGAATGTAAAAGAAATGTCTCTCTTGGCATATACTTCCCTAACGAGACAAGCATTTTACAATCAAAATTTATATTGTGAATTGTTGTGTATAAAAAATTATATTTACACTTAAAAGAAACGAAAGATTTGTATATTACATTTGTTTTTGCTGTTAGTTTAACATGGGAAACTTTAATTAGAACTCACTTGTTAAAGTTAGTGTGCTATATGCACTGAGACTAATAACTTTTATTATGAAAACAAAAGAAATGAATAACAAATAACTAGATGTATTTATCTATCCAACACTTTCTTCTATGACAGATGTTGTCATCTGGGGAAAGAATATTTTAAAATTTGGACCTTTCCCATTTCTATGTAATGAAATGACACAAGTGTTTTTGTTTGTATTTTTCTGCCAAGTGTGGTTTGCACATTTTTTATAAAACAAAATTTTAAAAAAGTATTTTCTTTCCTTTTTTATGGGGTGAGTTAGGACTTGGGGGTTATAGTAATTGTTATATATCTATCACCTGGTTGAAAAATGTATTTAATTATGAGCTACCAATGATGGAGCTATGTGTAAAGTTTCTAAAAAGGGGAATAATCAACTTTTATAGATTAAACTTTATTTTTTTCTAGTTATCTGTTCATAAAATGAAATATTGTGAATTCCAATAATTATTTTTGTTTAGTTTGTCTCACTCTTGTAGTAATATTGAATCACATCAAGCCCAGTCTAAAGATTGTAGTGTGATTATTAGATTAAAATTATTTGTGTGTAACAACTCATTTTAAAAATACTTTACATAAAATTGATATATCATTTATATTGATATCACTAATAATTTTATCATACATCTATAAAATACATGCCAAAATGTTTTCTTTAGAAGTTTTAAAATCAGGACTATTGTGTACTAAATGTAATCTTATTTTGTATTGCATTATCTGGCCACTTGATCACTTAACCTTATTAAACTGTGACCTAAACAAACAGGTAAACAATAATAGAAGCAGAGTGTAGACATGAATCTGATTGATATTACAATGTTAAACAGCCTATACTTAGATCAACTCACTGTTTTTATTTCTATTCTACAAGCATTTCTGTGATAGAGCAGGATACTTAATTTTGACCTGGTGTCATTTGAACCTTACTCTCATTTTTCTGTATTTACATGTATCTGACATTTAATAGACATTTCTGATTGTACATGTTAATACTATTGTATTTTCTAAAGCCTTAGTAGCCCATAAAGGCTTTCACCACAAACACAAAATATAGATCTGTGTTTCACTTTTTATGCAGTTTTTTTATGTATAACATTTTATTGTCACTTTAATTGCATCAAATTATTTAAAATTTGCCATTTAAATGATTGCTAAAAGATTTTAAACAGATGACGATTGCATCAAAAGTTTTAAAATCTGCCATTTGAGTGAATGCTAAAAATATTTCAAATTGCTAAAAGAATTCTGAGTATCAATTGTTTTTTAGATAAACAGCAAAAAAATATAATAGATTAAGGATAAAAATAATAAGACATAAGGTCACAACATAATTTGTTGTGTTCATTTCTTGGCTACTGTTTGTAACAGTCAGACGCTTCCTATTTATTAAATTTATTCAAATCTATGTAATATAATTAACACTGCTTAAATAATGTTTAGACTATATCTTTGTCTTCCATGTAAAACAAAATTTTAATGCTTATATTTTTACATGTAGACTTAATCTTATACTTTTAAATGCTAATCAAATAATCAAAGTCTTTGAATGATTCACTGGTTGAAAACAATTTTTAAATGCAGCTTTTATATAAGACTTGTTAGAGTATTTTAACATGAGATTTAATTGTTTTAATCTTCAACAATTTATTTGTTTAACATTTTTCTATACTTAGCAATCACTTTGTCTTGCAAGAAGGGAAGTAACTATAGATTCTCAATCTCTCTGGTCATGCTATACATTCTTCAATAGCAAAATTCCTAAATTCCTAAACACTTTTAAGGATGTGTAAAACTTGCAAGAAATATTTTATTAGAATTTGTAACTACAAAATCTATTTAATCTTGTAAAAAAATTGTTTAAATAATAATAATATACAATGATTAAGCTTGATAAATGTCTGTACTGTGTTTTAAAGTAATTTTTAACTCACCAGTTTTATAGCTAAATATTTGAGATGAATTTAAAATGTATGCAACTTTTTTGTGTGCTTGATAGTGGATGCATGAAGAGATTTGTATGTCCTCTGAAAATGTTTGCATATGCTTTGCTGACTAAAGACTAAGTTTAGGGGGGGGGGGGGGGCTGGGGTTATGATAATTGTGGGTGGTTGCCATTAGGGCTGGATATTTTTTCTGACTTCTTTTGGATAATGTGGGGTGGAGGGGTGACTACTTGCCCTGAGGACTGAGTCTGTCTTTCCTATGTCCTGGATTCCTCTAGGCTCATCTGATTATTGTGTTCATAATTATTATTTAGCTTCTGTTTAAAAGAGCCTTCTACCTTATACCTTATGTCATTGGCTATGCACCAGGGTTAGAAAATAGTGCATTAATAACTTCCTGAAATTTTATAAATTTCCCAGCCCTAACAAATGAAAATTTAGTTTATTAAATAATTTAACCATTTTTCTTAGATTTACAGATCACTCTTTAGATGAAATAAAATTTACTTTTGTCTCTGACTTAATATATTTCTGATGTAGATCTATATTATGTTTAATACCCAGTTTAAAACTTTAAACATAAATGATGTGTAATGTAGATTCATTTACATAGCTTTTTAAAGTCAATAGTATACTAGTTTTAGCAAGTTTGAATGCATGTACATGTATGTATATAAACATGTTATTGTTGGTTTGGTTGTACAAAATCAAATAACTTATAACTAGAGGTTTAAGGTTAGAGCTAGTTATCAGAAAAACTTGATGTGGGATGTCTAGGCTATCAGCAGCCATTAAATTTTACTGAATCAAAATGTGAATTTTTGCCATCCACTTTTTTTTACGTTTTGAGTAAGTGACTCAGTACTGTAAATCATATTTAACTTTTGCCAATGTTTTAACCGTCCTCTTAAGCTTTACACACTATGTCAAAATGTAAATAAATATATTTTTCTGGTATACTATGTATATTTTTGTGTTAATAAAATAAGTTTTACTATGCATGCAATTTATAGTTATTTTAAATGATTTATTTGTTCATGTATCTCTTCATGTTGGTAAGTGTTGTGATGCATGTCTTCAACATAGGTTGGTGCAAGTGAATATTGGTGAACGAATGGATAATGTGACTGGTATAGGGTGATAGTGATGTTTTTGTGTAGGACTGGTTGCTGTACATTGTGTGTGAGTTAGTCTGATTATTTTTGTCTTGGTGAAAAGGTGCACATGAGTCCAGTACCAGAATAAATATAAGAAGAGGAAACCTATATTCATCTGGTTGATTAGTCTAGATGAGTAATTGTGTAATGATTGCCCACGGTTGCAATATCTTCATATGGTAGTGGTATTTGCATAAGGTATTGGATCAAGTAGTTCAACCTTCCCACTGCATAACTGCGGGTTACATAGTCCCCAGCTTTAACAGTAAGGTTGTATTGACTTTACTGAATCCAGAACATCAAGAAAAACTTTTGGTTATTCCCCTTTACAAAAATAGTTTTCCTAGTTAAACTACTTTTTATTTCCTCTTTCAAAACAAAATTTTTTTTCATATTGTGATAAAGCTGTGTTGGAATTAGGTACTTGAAACAGAAAAACAACTTTTAGACTTCTTAATTAGGGTAAAGGATAACACATGCATTATTCATTTAAAGCTTTAATATAGGTTTCAGTTAGAGATTATTATAACAAGATAAATCAACAAAAACAATTCAGAATAATTTTAAATTTGATAACATTGTGAAAGGATCAAACTAACAACATAAAAAAATGAGCACTAACAAAACTGAGCGTACAATATGAACATTTTAAAAATTCTTTTCCTAAATGCTATTAAAAGTCAAAGATTGCTGAAACTTTAAATCAAAATGGTATACATTATACATTTCGTATTAATAAAAATAAATAATTTTCAATATTAAATATATTTCATGGTATTTTAACCAAACAAAGATTTTGATTTTTTAAAATAAAACATTACATGAATATAGAGAAATCTATCATAAAACACCTATTTTCCCAATATTTAGTTATTTTTTAACATCTAGATCAATTTTGCTCAAAAAATTACCACTACAGTGAAAATGAATTATATAAAAAATAAAATATCTATATACATAATTCTCTTCTTGGAGACGATAGAAAACACCAAGCTGTAAGCGCGCCTCCTAGCAGCCCCTCTCTTCCTCTCTAGGCATATCGTTACCACCCCCACCCCTACATGGTCTGTTGAGCTGTGGTTCACGCTAAATGTTTACAATCGTAGAGCCGGGTTTAGTGACGGCTATTAGGGGCATATACTTTGAAACCATTTTAAACATAGGCAAGGTAACTAAGAGGAGGCTGCTTTCACAGGGGGGGGGGGAAGGGGGGGAAGGGGGGGGGGGGGTTGGGGGAAAGGAGGGTTTTAGTATTTTAAAGCAAATATTTTCAGTGGCAGCATTCAAATTATGAATTACTGAAAAGTAGAAAATAAAACAACTAAATAGCGGCGCATGATTCGACGCGGGTCGGCTCGTTAAATTTATTATGCAAAATATTACTACTTAAATGTAATTTTTTTTACAGAAAAACTACAAGTAAAATTTACTAAACTTATAGAAGTTAACATTTTACTTAGCAAAGTTTATTAGTCTACATTGTGATATATGTAAGTGTATGATTTATCTTAGTAATTTTCTTCAATTATTATTTAAAAAGTTTTCTTAAAATATTATAAACAAACGCTAATACAATACTTGATATTAAAATTTTTGAACAGTCCAAATTTGGAATACATCACAGCTAAGATAAAAATTTTAAAAATAATATTGGAAGTATTAAATATTAAGGGCACTTTATTATATCCATTAAAGACAAAATGTACCTTATCCTGATTACGTATTAACTTTCTGAGGAGGCAGCAGTAATTACTATGGAGGAAGCTGTTGCAGGTCGAGGAAGCTCCTCAAGTGGTAAATCAGTGGGAGCCTTTTTGTCCATGGTAGTTTGAGCAGGGTGCCGGTCAATAAACGTATATGGAGGTGGGGCACTGGGCATTATCGGGTGTTGAAATCGGCTGAAAAAAGTACATAGTATTATATATAATAAAGCACTTTCAGCTTCTAAAAAATATATTTGTCCACCCAGCACTGATGGATACTTGACGCACATTGGGGAAAGTAAAGGCAGTGAGCTGGACATAGTGCTGACCACACCAATCCCTTCATATACTGATATTAAAATACATGCTCTACCTCATCTGCTCTATGGATCTTGAGCTTTTAAAGAGGAGCTTAACTTTACTTTTTTACTATATCAAAGCTAATAATTGTCTAAATATTATTGAATGGTTTACTAGCTAGACCTTACCTCAAAATGGCTTTTCTGAAATATATTGCAAGTATCAGAAGTCCCAAACATGCTGCTGCTCCGATAGTGCCACCAACAATTTTTCCTAGGATTTATAAATTAATAATGAACTAGTAATATAGAAATGAAACAGTTTTTTCATCTTTTAAAAAAAATTATGTCCATTAATGATTACCATTTTTATGGTAACAAAACATTTATGTTCATATACTTTAAAAAAGTATTTTTCATGTTATTGAATTTTGGTCCTTCATTAATAGTTAATGTTTACCAAGTTTATGTAAAAGCTCTTTCAAGCTATTTTTGCTGGTATCAGAATGAACTCTGACACAAGATTTAACCATGGCATGGTCAGGTGTTAAGTGCTTGACTGCTAACCCAAAAGTCTTGAGTTCAGATCTGCATGACATCCCTGTGTCCACCAAACTCTGATGTTAGGGAAAACAGGGGTGGTCAGCAATGTTTCCTCTAAGCTGCACGGTTGCGCAGACGCGCAGTAGTTTTGAGCTGCCTCGCAGTGCTTTTGTAAAATAAATATATCCTTGTATAAGACTTCTAGAACAGCACACACAGAAAATACATGATGCACACTAGCTTTTCCCCCTTAGAGAGAACATTGCTGGTCAGTTATAGTGCTGATCCCCATCCTTTCATATGCTGAGGTCAAGAAAAATAAGAATTCTACTTAATCTACTCTATGCATTGTTAGGTCCGAATAGGGAACTTTAATCCTGACTCATATCCTGATTATAACCCTAGTCTAGATAATAACCCAAATTTTTACTCTTATATTAAAATGAATACTGCAGAGAACTAAATTCAGTTACACACGGTATAGCCTAGACTATATTTTATAGTATTTCATCCAAGCTTACCCAATTTTCTATGGCTTTCCTCCTCGTTATGTTTATGTTTGCATGGCCCATTTTCATCATCAGACCAATAGCCCATGTTACAGTCATAGTAGATGGATGGGTCCTCTACACATTCATTGATTGATGGAGCACCTAATCCAGCTGTAGACGTGCCTATTAGAAAAAAGCATCACTCTATTTGCAGACATTTTATAAATATTTTTAGCATCCTGAGTCTTAAATTTGTTTAATTATTAACTTTTGTAAAATTAAATCAGTGACTTAATTATTCATGTAAATTACATTATGTCATCCATAAATGATGTCACTCTTTAAAAGGATTTGGTGCAGGGAAAACTTTTGTGACTAGGTGAGGGTTCATAAATTGTTTTGACACACTTTTTAAAAAAAAGTGTCAGAGGAGAATGTTTGCTGTTGTTTTGCAGTTAAAAAAAACAACCTTTAATATATCGTAATACAAATGGTTGTTTATACTATACTCACTGATGACCAACCTCAGTAAATATTGGAAAACAAAAAAGGGCTTTAAAATTTGAGGAGAGTGGAATTCTGCAGGTGAGGGGGGGGGGGGGGCTATGTGAACCATTAGGTAAAGAGTAAACCACACTTAAACTTACCTGCTGGACAAGGGTCACAAGAGGTCATTCCAAACTTCTCCTGATAAGTTCCAGTAGGACATAGCAAGCAGAGGCCATTTTTCCAGTAAGTTCCGGAAGTACAGTATGCTATAAGAAAAAAAAATGTTTTCTCATTTATAAAAATTACAGGCATTTAAGAGAATTTCTGTAATATTTTAAAAAAATTCTTTGAAAACCAATGCAGCTTTCAATACAGTTTCTTTTTGTTTAAGTGAGATATAAATTAGAAAAAAGAATCAGGACTCACCACACACTGCGCGGAGTAAGGTTGTGCCAACCGGGCACTTCTGTGAAATTTTAACATCATCATTAACTATTCCTTTGTACACAACACCATTTACTTCAAAGGTGAAGATGTCACCAGAGTTGTTGAAGAGTAGTTGGGCGACTTGTTCAAACTCAAGAAGTTTTTGACGAATCATGTCTACTTCTCCGTCTTTAAAATGTTAAGATATTTCAAACTATTAAAAAGTGTTTAATAGTGCAAAATACATCTTTTAAATTAGATACAATTTTAATTCTTAATACATTGTAAATTGGTAAAAGATTTAAATAATCATTTAACAATATATAATAGCTGTTGTCAAATGTTAAGGCTTTGAAAATGATTTTGCTGTTGACTGACACCAACTATCCAGCTTGTACCTTTATAGATGGCATAATATATATATATATATATATATATATATATATATATATATATATATATATATATATATATATATAAATATATATATAGGCCTATATGCAATTGTTGTGTTTTTATTGTTGTGCAATTATTTTGTGTTTTTAACATCATGGGTTGCAATAGCCTTTATTTTCTAAATATGGAAAGAATAGGATGAAAATTAAGATCCTTTGGTCTATAACTATCAATACTTAATAAATGTAATAAGAAATTTAATGAAGTGGCTTACCTGTGGCAGTTCTTGAATCTAATTGAGGAGATGTTACACTCATTGTGTAACTAATTACTAAAGTACCTGTAAATAAAAGTTGTTTCTACTGTTTGAGATATTGAAATAATACATCAGTGTAGGACACTCATTGTGTAACTAATTACTAAAGTACCTGTAAATAAAAGTTGTTTCTACTGTTTGAGATATTGAAATAGTACATCAGTGTAGGTACTGTTTGATTATATATATATATATATATATATATATATATATATATATATATATATATATATATATATATATATATATATATATATATATATATATATATATATATATATATATAATATATAAAAATATATATAATGTATCACATATATAGATACACAATTTATATATAAATAAATATATATATATATGTATTATATATATATATATGTATTATATATATATATATGTATTATATATATGTATTATATATATATATATATATATATATATATATATATATATATATATATATATATATATATATATATATATATATAAATATGTAGACAAATAAATTAACCTGTATCTCGTTTCATGTTAGTATTGTATGCAGAAGTCACTGTGTAGTTGCAACTGGTGCACCAGACACTAATTGTCCTTTGAATGTTCTGGGACACCAGGTTTTTGGCGACCTCAGCATCTACAGTCACACCCGATGTTTGAATATCAGCAGTCTGGTCGACACTTCTTTTAGTGATTGTAGGTACACCTATTGTAGCCGTCTGTTCCATTGTTCTGTTGGTCACTGACACAGCAGCTGGGGAAACAGACATTGGATTTTTTAAAAATAATTAGTTTTTGATTCGTTTTTTAATTAGTGTTTGATTAGTTTATAATTAGTTTTTGATTAGTTTTTTAATTAGTGTTAATAACATCAATGGGGTAGAGTGGTAGAGGGTGCGATGGTTTTCAAAAAAGTTTTGAGTCAAGTTCCCAGGCTTGGTAAAAATATGTTCCCGGCAAACCAGTTCTGATGTGCACCTGAGTTGAATCAAGGAAAATAAAGGCAGCTGGGTAGCTGTTGACCACACAGTTACAATTCTAAGAAACTGATGAAATTTTGAGTAACTTCTGTATGGAAATCTCCTATTGTAGAATTTGACATCAGTTGGCAATGCTATCGTACATAGTAAACATATTCAGTGCATGTTTTTTTAAAAACAATATCAAGGTTAACCTTCTACTACGCATAATTATCTTCAGTAATAATAATATGTGGAAATAAAAATAAACATATAATTTCATTTAATGTAGAAGTTAAAAATAATGAAAAATAAAAAGAATATTTACATAATTTGTTATATTCTATTATATAGAAGTGGGTGGTTTCAAAATCTGAACAATTGTTCATCGTACTCAAAGTACATAATGTCTTTGCTATTGGGCAATTATTTTATTTCCAAAGAAATTAAACAGAGCATACTTAAATTAAATAACTTAGTAATGTAGATAGCCTACATTTTTTGTTGAATTTTTTTTTCCTGTATATTTTGAGTTCATTTTGATAATATATTTTGTTTTGTTTGTTTTAATTTGTCCAGCCGAAAATGAAAAACAATATACCTATTCAGAAATATATTTTGTATATTGAAATTAAAGGGTATTTTAACCTAATTAACTTCTTAATTTAAAAAGCGTTTTAGTTAACTGCTATTTCTTTTTATGTTTTTACACAATATTTTTCAGTTTTTAATTAGAACTGTTGATTTTTATTGATTGTAATAAAAAAAAAAGAAAAAAGTACATTTTTACCTGTGCAATCTGGAATAATTCCCTTTGGATTCGTCTGTGTTACCTGTGTCCAGTTATAGCCTGATAAAGGCCCACAGCTGTAATTATAAATTTCTGCCATATAACCTGGATAACAAACAATGTAACATTCCTTCATGCTGTTTGTTGCATTGGTTGTACAGATGATGTCTTGTACATTTGATGGTCTTGTCAGTTTTGGACAACCTGGAAAAAGTAAAAATATTTTTTTTTTAGTAAACTATGTAAACTTGCTTACAAATTTCAGTTTACTAACAGATTTTTAATGCTTAAAAAATAAAATTTAAAGATTAAATATGTAAGTTAATAAATAATGGATACATTTTCTGTAGGCTAGCTAGCTAACATATATTTCTAAAGTACATTTGACATGTACACCTGAGTGAATTTCAATTATTAGTAATTGTAACTTTCATATACCAAGAAAAATCAAGTTTACATATTAATAATAGTATGGAATGCAGTAGTGGAAAGGATAAAGAAAATTACTTTAGTTAAACTGATTGCTTTTTACTTACTGGGACATGTGTTGTTATTACATGTAGTACTCTCAGTAAACCCTGCTTCAGTACAGTTCTTACCCCCACACTGAGGTGCTGGGGTGTCACAATTTCTAGTTCTCGTGGATATCCCTGTTCCACAAGATTTTGTACAATTTGACCATTCTGACCAAGGGCCAAACCCACCATCAGCTGTGTTTGTCATAAAACATAAGCAAGTGAGAGATTTTTTACATGATTTATTGTTACAAAAAGAATTAAACTAGATTCATTGTTATTAATTGCAAATAGAAAAAATGTTTTACCAATTGTAAAATTTAATAATTTACTAATATATTTTGAAGTTTATTAAAATTATAGCTCTAGTATTTACTATTTAGAACTTAGTTCTGGCTTAAATAGACATTAAAAGCTATTTTTCATTTTTAAAGATACATTATAACAAGACATCAGTAATAATTGAGACAAATTATGAAGGAAAGTTGTATTTTCTAGGGCAGTGTGTTATGTTTTTACAGGTAGAGCTTTATTCAAATTATAATTCTTATATTTACTATTTAGAACTTAGTTCTGGGTCAAATAGACAGTAAACACTATTTTTCATTATTTAAAGATACAAGTTTTTAACAAGACATCAGTAATAATTGATGAGGTAAGGAAAGTTGTATTTACTGGGACAGCATGTGATGTTTTTACAGGTGGAGGTTTGTTCCGTCTCGCCTAAACAATCAAGTCCCCCGTACATTGGTGCCGGATTGGTGCAGTTGCGCTTTCTGGTGGCTCTGCCTTCGCCACACTGGACATTACAACTCCACTCACTCCATTCACTAAAGTTGCCATTAACTAAAACATTTAAATTTAGATTAAAGTTGCCATTGACTAAAACATTTAAATTTTGCTTAAAATTACATTCACTAAAGTTGCCATTGACTAAAACATTTTAAAATTATGCTTAAAATTACATTCACTAAAGTTGCCATTGACTAAAACATTTAAGTTTTGCTTAAAACTACATTCACTAAAGTTGCCATTGACTAAAACATTTTAAAATTATGCTCAAAATTACATTCACTAAAGTTGCCATTGACTAAAACATTTTAAAATTATGCTCGAAATTACATTCACTAAAGTTGCCATTGACTAAAACATTTTAAAATTATGCTCAAAATTACATTCACTAAAGTTGCCATTGACTAAAACATTTTAAAATTATGCTCAAAATTACATTCACTAAAGTTGCCATTGACTAAAACATTTAAGTTTTGCTTAAAACTACATTCACTAAAGTTGCCATTGACTAAAACATTTTAAAATTATGCTCAAAATTACATTCACTAAAGTTGCCATTAACTAAAACATTTAAATTTAGATTAAAATTACATTCACTAAAGTTGCCATTGACTAAAACATTTTAAAATTATGCTTAAAATTACATTCACTAAAGTTGCCATTGACTAAAACATTTTAAAATTATGCTTAAAATTACATTCACTAAAGTTGCCATTAACTAAAACATTTAAATTTTGCTTAAAATTACATTCACTAAAGTTGCCATTGACTAAAACATTTAAATTTTGCTTAAAATTACATTCCTTAAAGTTGACATTAACTAAACATTTTAAAATTATGCTTAAAATTACATTCCTTAAAGTTGCCGTTGACTAAAAGCTAAGAGATTTATAAATTATGGTTCAGATTACATTCCATAAAGTTTCCATTAACTTTAACATTTAATATTTATGAATTATGCTTAAAATCATTAACTAAAGTTATTATTGACAACAGCATTTATTTTACTAAGAGTGACTTAAAGGTTTTAAATTATGCATGAGATTTCATTCATTAAAGCTGCAATTGACTAAGGTTTGAAAATTATGCTTAAGATAGCATTCACTAAACTTAGCATGACTAAAGCATTTTGAACTATGCTTTAGATTATGTTTACTATTTACTAAAGTTGCCAATGACTAAAAAATTAACTTATTTTATGTTTAATATTACATTCACTTATGCTACAACTGACAAAATTAAAAAAAATAATGTTTATAATTACATTCCCCAAATTTAACAGTGACTAAAATAAAATATGATTAAGCATACAGTTATGTAATCTATATCTCAGTGTATTTGTTGAAGTATTATTGTTTTCAACATTTAGTAAGATCAAAAGATTCTATTTTTGTGTGGACAAAAAAATTCTATATACTACTATTCAGGGTATAGATTTAATCTTACTTGGACAGTGGACATCATTACAAGCCTTTGTTTCTGAAGCTACATCACTACAAGGAAGACCATACAGATTGGGTGGTGGATTCGTACAAGTCCTGAATCTTGTAACATTAGCCCCACCACATGTAACTGGGCATATGCTCCATTCTCCCCAGCTGCTCCATGCACCATTAACTGGCATATTAGAAAAATAGAAGTAAAACCTTTGTAGAAATAGTTTGGCTTATTTAATTTAAAAAAATTAAGATAAAAGTTTTAGTGCTGCGTCTTGGATGTAAATAAAACAAACATCCAGCATACTATGGTATTTATGTGGGATGAGGATTTAAAACCATAGATGATATTTTTCATCCTAATCTAAAAATAGTTGCTTCTGAATAATTTCATACATTAATTTATTTTTGTTTTCTACTTCTAAAACTTGCTTCATCATTTGCCAAAATTATTCATGGCAGTTACTAGTTTAAAGTTAAAGAACTTATATAACTAAGCATTTAAAATATTTTGACATAAAAATAACCAAATAGGTAGTCCTATATTAGTTAAAGATTATTATTCTTAGTTTATTATTATAATGATATAGGCCAGCTAAGGACTTTACATCCAAGTCAATTTTTAACCAACTGTTATCGTTAAATACTTTGAATTTTAAACTTATTTTGAAACCTCTCTTTTTAAATATGCATGTACGACATTTATTTTTAACATTTTATTTTAAAAATCTCTCCGAATAGTTAAAAAAAACGGCAAAAGAAAAGTACCAATTTTTACTGTACAAAACTGTCCTGTGTATCCATCCTGACAGTTGCAGGTGTAGCTGTTATTTACAACTTGGCTAAGACACTCTGTTGTATTACGACATTGATTGCCTACACAGAAATCTGGTGCAACCTAATCAATAAATAAACAAAATGTGTATTAAATACTATAATTGTGTGCCTGAGCACAATCAGATTGCAAGCTAAGGTTGAAGTGTTATTTACAGTGTTTAATATAATAAATAACTTTAACTATTTAACTATGAAGAATAAATTGATAAAGTTAACCCAAGAGCAAAAATACTTTTAAAAATGTTGCTGTAAAACATAGGCTTGAATTAAAGTCTAACAGACCTAACAGAATCGAAGTAAATTAGGGATTGTTCATAACTAATGTCACGCTCCTGAAGGGGTGGACTTCAGTGATGTGTGATAAGTGGAGTGAGTGAATGGGGTTAAGAAAGTATGACTTCAAACAGAAGATTTTATTCACTTTCTAGAGACAATTCATTTAAATTTAATGTATAAGTAATTATGATAAGACCATTTTATTTCTTTAAATTCCTATTGATATAAATATTGTTATTATGCATATAAATGAGTAAATTTGTAGTAATGGTACACACCGGCCATATTTAATAAACAGAAAATGCTTAACTAATCAATTTAACAGGTCATTGAGTTTAAAAAAAATACAGAACAAAAGTTGTAAGTGGAAGCATTAACTTTAACAATGGAATGTTTTCTTCAAAAAATAAAGAAACTACATAACCTAGTTTAATGAGTCCATAAGGTGATTAAAAGTGCAAACAGGAATGGATTGGACAAACCTTGCATAAACCAGCTAGCAACATCACTAGTAGGTAGGAAAGTAGGTAGGCTAAAACAACAGTGGAAAAGGTCAGCTGTCGGTGAAGCAGAATCAGCTGAAATGTTGTGGGCACAACTTGGAGGTATTGCCCAGAACCGAATACTAATGAGAGGTGTGGTTACGTCCCTATGCCTCACAAGGGGTCCACAGGGATGATGATGACTAGATGATTAAGATACAGGTACTAGTTCAAGCTTACAATGATATTGAAGTTACCTGACAGTTACTCCCTGTCCACAACTCATCACACTGGCACTTGTACCCCACAGTTAGGTCAATACATACACCATGGTCACCGCAAGGTTTTGAAAGACAAGCATTGGTGTCTGAAAAGTGTTTTGTAAAATCTCAATAAGGTCTCAAATACTTGTTGCGGCATCTTCATATTTTACTTGGTTTAATGCTTTTCAATAAACAAATTTAATTTAAAACAGCACTTGATTCGAGGCATTTTTCACACGTATATTTAACTTTGAGTAATGACTTTCAATAAGTTTAATAAAATAAATGTCATTTAATATATAGCATAATTTTCACAAATAATTTTCCAAAAATATCCAGCTGATGTTTACATTTTAAAAAGTTATAAGATATTTCTTGATAAAATACACACATGTAATGATACTTGTTGAGTGTGTCAGTTTTTAAAAGTATAAAATAATTATTTCTTGTAGGCCTAAACATTTCTTAAAACTTATTCTTATTGTCTACGACACAAGATGGGCTACCAGTGATAGCATTTGGACAAACAAGCTCGGCATTTGAGTTGCCAGGGAAACTTGTTGGTTGCCAAAAAGCTACTGGGAAAACAAGCAAAGTACCAAAAACTAGGAAAATAAATTATAACAGTATACCATCACATGAGGTGGGGGTTAACAGTGGTGCCATTGTCTCAGGAGAAATCAATATATTCCCATCCAAAACTTGCCCACAAGAACTGACCAATGAGGAGATGGAGGTCTGAGTCAAAACAGTTCTGGATAGCTGCATCCCGCTGATAGTCAGCTCTGAAAAAATTACATAGTAAAACATTCTCATACAACCATTGCTATCACATTTATTTATAAAGCATATAAGCAGAGTTTCTTCCAGGCATCTCTTTGGGGGGGGCCATTGCCCCCCCCCCCCCCCCCCCCCCCCCGAAAATTTCAAGTGCCCCCCTCCGGAGAATAAAGTCTGGAAGAAACACTGCATACAAGAGACTATAAGGAGGTAGCTATGCTTCCTATATATATATCTACTAGTACATATATATGTGTAAATATGTGTATTCCTAAATGGAGGTAAAAGGCAAACACATTCTAAAATGTTCAATTTGTTCCGATTTATTCATGTGGGAAATTTCCACAAGTTTATTTTGGAATCCAGAAGTTTCTCATAAATTGTCCACCTAGATCTCTACAAATGGCTGTTTTACCTATTACAACAAGTGGCAATGGAAATACACATTTCTGAGCATGTCATATTATGAATGCATTTGTGTCTTTTGAGTTTATAAAAAAGCAACTAAAATTATTTTACAAACCAGGAATTTTTGTTGAATGTGTGAACTGAAGTTTGAAGTCTGAGCAATTATAAAGACCCCATGAAGTCTTCTCATCTGCCAACACACCATCAACGTACAGGTTTGTTTTGTTGAAAGAGTGGGTGACAGCCAGGTGAAACCATGATCTGTATATATGTTTTATGCCACACAATTTAAAAAATTTAGAAAAATTTAATAGTCATATATTATCCATATATATAATTCTCTTCATGGAGACCATAGAAAACACCACACAGCTTAGCCACCACCCTCATCCCCACTTGTCAGGTGAGATGTGGTTCACCCCGAATGTTTACAATAGTAGAGCCGGGTTAGTGACGCCTATTAGGGGCAGATAATTTAGTTTTAAACGATTTGAAACAAAGGGGAGGTAACAACATCTGATTGATCTTTTCTTTGTAAACGGCTGCTTTCATTGGGTGGGAGGGGAGGGGGGGGGGGGGGTAGTGTTGAATTCACAAATTATGAATTGCTGATAAGCACAAAATAAAACAACTAGATGGCGGCGTATACTACATGGTGGGTCAGCTCGTTAATATTAATTATCAAATAGACTTTTTTTTTAGTTTACAAAAATAAATTTTCAATTCCATCATTGAAACAAATATACAGCAAATTATGTTCTGATCTAAGGACTCAAATGATGTTTAGATAAAAAAAGGCCTTCGATAGTAATTAAAATTTTTTTATACATATATTTACATATTTTTATATACATTATTTTCATTGAATATTACTGTAGAAAACGTTTGTTATATTTTCTAACGCATTAAAAAATTGTAGATACTTATTTTCTACATCTTCAAAAAAACTTAGAATTTTAGAAACATACTTTCTGACTCTTCTTAGCGGAAGATCCTCAGATGAAATTGAGAGGTGAAAATCCTTACAGCCAATCACAGCTCCCTCTGTGTTTTCTGCTAGTTTAAAGGTTGATGAGTAGTTGGCCATTAGATTTTCTGGTATGTTGACCCAAAAAACCATTGTAAAATTACTCAGAGTTCCACTTGTTTTGTTCATCTCTACCTCAAAGGTCTCATTGTTCAACAAGACATTGTAAACTGTGATAATAAAAAAAAATTTCAAATTGTTATGTTAGAGAAAATATTTTTCATAGTTAAAAAAAATGATTAATTTTGCAATTTAATAATGATTAGCTGTTAAAAACATTTTTTACTGTTTCTATTTTCAGCTCTCTATTTAAATATTTAAATGCTACTTGATCCTAATATAGCTGATACTAGTGCTTGAAGCATTTAAAATGGGTTTGTGATTTATGTTTATCTACCAGTAAGGTCTTAATATTACATCACTTTTATTTTTAGTCCTAAACTTGTAAAAATGATAACTATACTAATATGTTACTTAAATTTATTTCAACACATGATTTTTTATTATAAAATCAGAGTTTAAAAAAATTACTATAATTTAGAATAGCATCAAGATTGAAATAAACTTTAAAAATCTTAAGCCATTCTCAAATGAGCAAACAGAAAATATAAAAAATGCTTTAAAAATTCAGAATAGGTTCTCACATTTACAATCAGCTTTAGCAGAAGACGCAGTGCCAACTGTGGACATGCCATAAGGGCATGTCACACATCCCTTGCCTCCTTTATTGGGTTGGTAAGTGCCTCTTCCACAAGGCTCACAAGGTTTAATGCCAGAGGGAGAGTAGGTGCCTTCAGCACACACATCTGGAGATGTCACATAGTATTATTTGACAGTATTTTTAAAATGTAGATGCAATAGTATATAGATGTATATATTTGTGAACATTTACATATTTAACTAAATGTGTATGCATATATATATATATATATATATATATATGTTTCTTCGTTCTTAATTGTAAAGTTGGAAGGTATTTCCTCCAACATAATTAAGTATTATGTGTTAACTTGTGATGCGCCATTTTTGCCGATGACTCTAATTTCAGCCTGCCTTTCTATTAGGATTTGCTTGTCAGTGGGTATAAAATTGATACAGGTGATTAAATTCCTTTCTCGAATCATTAATCAAACTTACCTAAACAATCTGTAACAGATGTTGCATTTACTTTATTTGTTGTGGAGCCCTGAAGACAACTCATGCATTCTGAAGCAATGTCGTAAGGTTGGTAGGTACCAAGTGGACACGCAGAACAACCTTTGGTAGTTTTGTTGTAAATCATTCCTTGACCACACCCAGCTATGATCAAATTTTTCAAATTTTACAGTGATTGTTTAGGTTTGTTTTTGAAACTAAAAAAAAGTTAATAAAAATTTTTTTTTCTTAAAAAACTAGTAACAAATTGTTGCTGCAGTGTCAGCAAACTTCTATTTAACAAGAAAATTGTTTTAATAGATAGTTCTACTGACAATTTAAAAAAAAAAACAACTTAAAAGCTTAAAAAACATGCAGGGCTGTTTGACAAAAGAGAAAAGGTTCTAAAATCGTAGATGTATTTACTAACCACAAAGTGCAGTTTGGTAAACAAATATGGTGTTATTAGGGCATCCAAAAACCAAATCGCCAAAGCCATAAGAGTAGGGATTAGTTTCTCCTGCTTCAGGAATATTGAACTCTCCATTGGCTGTTTTTTCATCAAGTGCAGAGTTTATGTCAAAAATAAGGTTGTCATAGTATTGCAGATTTTGTGTTGCGCTGCCTTGATTTGAATATGATACTTGAAGGTGGAAGCTAACCTGTTTTTAAAAAAAATAAAACACATATAGTATCAATTGTTTTATTTATTAAGGTTATAAGCATGAATAATACAAGATTCTACACAATAATGCAAGGTTTTGAATTACAAAGACAATCTCTGTAATGATTTAAAAGAAAATTATTAGTCAAATGCATCAATTTCTGAGGATCCTACATACTTCAATACAAACATTTTGTAGGATTATCTTTTGATAATTTTTTTTTTAAATATGAAAGAACGGTTATCTATAAAGAATGCAATACTAAAAAAGTGTTAGTTTCTAATTTAAAATTGAATAACTAAACATACAGCAGTTTTAATAAGCAATTAAATGACTTGCCCTAGTTATGTGTGTGGCAGTGCTGGTGTCTCGCTTTACAGATCTTTTCCCTCGAGAGCCGCACGTAACAGTGACTTCATCTACATTGCAATTAAAAGTTTTGCAAATATCTTTAAATAAATTGGTTGTCTGGATGAGGGTAAAAAACTTATTTTTGATTTCTTCAGTGGAAGTTGAACAGTTGCCAGAGTAATATTGGATGTTTGGTGTCATCTCTACTGTTGGATCCAATGCAGCTGTAGAAGCAATCATTTTTGTGATTTAAAGAAAAAACTGCAAAAATGTTTTCTTAACATTAATTTTATATCAATTTAAAATACATATCTTTTTCAGTAGATGTATTTGGGAGTAAAAATCAAGCAGCTGACAGGAATCAAAGAGCGAATGCTAACTTGAATGTTTTCCACATTTTGGCATGGTGTGTTATTATTTTTATGAATAATTTTTTTAGCACAAAAAGTTGGTTTACCAATGCATGTGCCTTTTAAAATAACACTAGGAAGCCACTCTCCAGTTTGCCTCCAGCAGACATAAACACCATTCTGAGGTGCTCCTGCTGTCAATGTGTAGTTCTGTTTACATGTCACAGTGCACACTTCCTGTTGGTTGATGACATCACACGCCACTGATCCAAAGGTCGGGGCCTGTTGCTTGCTGCAGAACTTGGCTGAAGCAACAACAAAATAATATTTTATTCTAAATTAAGATTACCTTTTACATGCCTCATAACCAATATGTAGACCTATACTACAGGCCTACATTAATTATTTTTTTAATTTTCATTCTTGTGGACCTCTTGTGGAGTAAAACTACATTTCTTTATCATAGGCCTACTTGGTTTTGGGCAATTCTTCAAAGTCAGGTCTATGGCTGCATTTATTAATTCACATACAGCTAAGCCATTCTTATTTTAAATTAAAGTAATAAATTGTTTGATTATTTGACTATTAAATTTTAGCAGATTAGTAAAGCTTTAGAATAATTTTTGTAAAGCTGAACAATAAAATCCAACATAATTAGATTCTCAGCTTTTAAAATGTAAATTAATTGGTATATATACCCCAATTGAACAAATCCTGAGATTTATTCATTTAAAAACAATTTTTTTTAAAACATACCATCACACACAGGTTTAGCATTTCCGTAGTTCCAATATCCTGTCCCAGGTGATGTGTCATTTTTTTCACAAGTTATCACAGAGCTTCCTACTATAGCAATATTGTTGCTGCAGCTCACATTGCATGTAGCTCCATACACGTACCCTTGTGAGCAGTTGAAGACCATGACGTTTGTCCCATTTTCAACAAGGCTGCTGTATGCTGGGTTAGGGCATTGGATAGCTTTGAAAAAAAAAAGAATTATTTAAAACAATTTTTAAAACCATGTTTTGTTTTTCTCATATGAAACTGCAAATAGTTTTAAGGACATAAATATTTTGAGAAATTAAAAAAATTTGTTGAGATATTATGAAACTTTTAAAATTACCTAAAAGTTCCAAAACTGCTGAATTTATAAAAGGTCCACAACTAATAATTTACCAATTATATCATCTTTCCCAATTATGCCCAAGAAAAATAAGGCAGATGAAGTAGAGCTCATCTGTTTCAATGACATCAGCATACCATTTGTTTCCCTAATGTAAGTTAGGTACCCATCAGAGCTGGGTAGACTCAGGGTCAATCTACTGATCTGAACCCAGATTTAAGCTCAAGATTTTTGGGTTAGCAGTCTAGCACTCTATCGCTAGGCCACGCTGTCCCGCATATGCCTACCCCCTAATATATACTGTGGCGTAATTGCTCATATAATTGTTAGATTTTTTTTGCTTCTTGGGTTATAACAACATACTTACAACGTTACCGATTTTTAACTGGCCATAGCTTTTAATAATATTTTAGTATAATTTAATAATTACAATTGACTATTTAACCTAGATATAAATGTTTTATTTGTGTCAATAAAGATACTTGGTAGTTATTTCTGAAGGCCTAATACACAAATACCTAAGGGGTCATCCATAAATGATGTCACACTTGAAGGGGGGAGTCCATAATTTTGTGATGGTGTGTGATGGGGGGGGGGGGTCAGATGGTGCGATATCACACTTTTTCATTATAAAAAAGCAATGTTAGAAAACGAGTTTCAGTAGTTATTTCGCGCTTTAGAAAACGGTTTGATAAATTGTAATAGGAATTGATCAATGTACTCTATGTTGACAGAGTTCAGACAAGATTTTGGAAAAATATCGATTTTTTAAGAAAAATTCAACTGCAATTTTGAGTGGGGTTGTATGCTGAGGTGTGACATCATTTAGGGTGGGGTCTGGCTTTTTATGACGATGTGTGACGGAGGGGAGTGGGTGTGGTAACAATCGCCAAAAAAACCATGACGTCATTTATGGATGACCCCTAACATGGCCAGGGAAAACATTTAAAACTCACAATATGAAATACACTCGCAATATTTGAAAACAGTTTTAACTTTTACCGATTTGTGGGGAGTAGGGTATTACCTGTAGCAGTGACAGTAAAATTACAGTAAGCTTTATTTCCTGCCAGATCTGTTGCCGTGGCGATGATGTTTGTTGTTCCTACATTAAATGGTTGACTGGAAGCTGGGACAGTGTTGATGACAACTGTTGTGTTGGTTGTGTCCACTGCTTTGAGCTGAGATGTGAATGAAACATATGTGGAGTAGCCAAGTTTCTCTGCATACACTGTCACATTTGGGCAACTTATGAATGTTGGAGGGTCAACATCTGTAAGAAAATATAGTATTTTAACAATGCAGCTTAAAGAAGTTTTAGTATAGTTGAATCATATTAGAGTTATATCACAGTAATTAGTTGCTGAGGAGAATGTTATGATAAAATGTCACTAATGTCACTTCTACAGTAATAAAAGGTATATATATGTTTAATATGGGACGGAGTGGATTAGAGGAAGAGCACTAGATTGTTAACCCAAATGTCTCTCAAGTTTGAATCTGGGTTCAAGTCAGTAGAACGTCCCTGAATACACCCAGCCCTGATGGGTAGGTACCCATCACGTTAGGAAAAGCTAAGGAGGATGGGGATAGTGCTGACAACACAATCACTTCATTTGTCGATTTCAAGAAACATATGAACTCTGCCCAATGGATTGCTGTGTTGAAAGGGAAATCTATACTTTACTTTTAATTATGTCTAATGCTTAGTTGCGGTATAAAAAATATTAAACATTTTCTAAATATGTGAAAATCTGCAATGTATACTAATTACTAGTAAAAATTTCAAAATCTATAAAAACCTTGACAAGTTCCTGGTACTGTCCATGTTGAATTTGTCCGACATATAACAGATGTGCTGTTCTGAATTTGATAACCCTTGTTGCATGTTAATGGACATATGATTCCATAGGCATATGTGTTGTTTGGACAACTAGTGTCCCCATTAAGAATTGAGGGAGGTGCACTACAAGCAATTCCTTAAAAATAAAAAAAAATTCTTTAAATCTTAAGTTAATGATGGTAGATTTTGCTGTTATGTTATTTGAAAATATTTATTGATTTAAATTATTGTTTCTAAACCATTTTTAATAAAAATGAATATTTAAAAAAATGTTTTGTATTAAAAGATTATGAAGTTTTAAGTCACTTTCATTTTGTAAATAAGAATATGTCTTATTAATGTTATGTTCCTGTTATAAATGATATTTTATTTGTGTGAAAACAAATTTTATTAATAATAATATTAATATTATCATTAGGTTAGCTGATTCTTTTATGCAAAATAATTATTTTGATTGAAATACAAGAATAAATTGACATTTACGGGAAGTATAATTGTTTATTCTACATATCTGAAAAAATAATCAAATTTACTTTGACATTCTATTGTCTTGTTTTCCCATTTTCTATTTTCAAGACAGGAGAGAACAGAAGCACCAGACAGCTGATATCCCTCAGTGCATGAGAAGGAACAGTCTGATCCGACAGCGTTGTCATGGCTACAGTTAACCCTAGCCTGATCTGGCACTGTGATTGTATCACATGTGGCAACTGGCAAATAAAGACCAAAATGCTGCTGAATTAATAAAATTTTTCTAAATAATTAATAATTCAGCATTTAATTTTGAATGAAACTTATTTTTAGAGAACAAATCCACTACTTTTGTTTTAAGACTGCAACGAAAATTGCTGTAGAGATATAATTAATACTTAATAGTAATTACTGGTATGGCAGAAAAAAACTGAAATTTGGTTAGGGTTATAGGGATGCATTCAATTTTTAAAAAAATTACAAAATACTAAATAAAAATCTGGGTTATTCCCAACCCACTTACTAGTCACATTCACAGTGAAAGAACAAGAGGCTGTGTTGTTGCTGGAGTCGGTGGCCAGTACAAAAACTACGGTCTGTCCAACAGGAAACAGTTGTCCAGATGTAGCACTGCTGGTCACATTGACAGTTCCATTGGAGTTGTCGGAGACATTCCAGCTTCCCCACTCAACAGATACAGGCTGCTTTTTAGGCTTGGATACAGCATTGATTGTTGGTGGACATTTAAGCTCAGGTGCTTTTATATCTGTAATTTATTTATAGATCAAAGTTAGTTTAGGGTGTAGGACAAAAGGCCGACATCCAAAAGGCCGACAAGACAAAAGGCCGACAAGACAAAAGGCCGACAAGACAAAAGGCATGTAGATCTAGTGGACATAAAAAATGGACATAACTAACTCAGTTAATTAAAAAAGAAAGATCTGTTCACTTCAATAGAAGACCTAGATCTGTAGACAAAAAGCCGAAAAATTAGCGACAGTAGATTTCATTTGTAAGAACAGTTTTTGAGAAATTAAAAACCTGTCTTTGGCAACGATGATAAGTTTTTAGTTGGGGGAAGTCACTTTGTCCACGACCGTCATACTTCGTATCAGATTTGAAGACTCCTTTTTTTTCTCAAAATATAAACACTCAGTAGACTATCACTACGATAAGTCACTAAGAGAAATAGAAAAGGAAGCAGTTTTGGATACTATATACGCTATATAGGCAGTGTTCCTTCCAGACTTTTTTCTTCGGGGGGGGGGGGGGGGGGAAAGGGGCACTTACAATTTTAGGGGGGGGGGGCGGGCGGAGACACTGTTAAAAATATATTTTCTATATATATTCCATTTCGTTCGGGGGATGGGAAGGGAGGGGGGGGGAGGGTAGACTCTTCGGGGGAGAAGAGATGCCTGGAGACCGGCAAAAATGGAAAGAAGTTTTGTGGCGGTTCCATGTTTCATCAGTGTTTCTTTCAGAATTTTTTTCCAGAGGGGAAGGGGGAGGGGTACTTGAAACTTTCGGGGGAGGAATGGTAAAAGTACATACTTTCAATATAAATTCTATTTCGTTCAGGTGGATGAATGGTGGACTTGTTTGGGTTGTAAGGGGGGGGGGGGGGGTGGCATGTTCAGGATGTAAAGGGGTTGGGGCACTGTTGAAAACCTGAATGAAACTCATTGGCACAACGGGAAAGTCCATGGAAAGGGAGACAAGAGAAAAAAACCACATTCTAAATAGAAAAATAATTATAAACATTTATTTTGTTAATTTAGTCTACTTACCCCGGCATGATCCCGCAGTCGTCCATGTGCCGTTAGCATTACAAGTGACCATACTGTTTTGTAGAACTGTATAGCCCTCTCGACAGTACAGAAAGGCGTTGGAACCAGCAGTCGAGCTGTAGCTTGACCAAACTCCATTGGCTGGAGCGTTTAGAGTCGGACAAACAATCGGAGCTGGAGGGGATTGCTCTGCATAGTATAAAGTTTAGAGTTGGCGGCCATTTTGAGGAACAGTGAAACACTTAATGTTAAATTGGTATCTTTTCCAGGTAAAAAGTTAACCCCCGCCACTCATAAAAGATTATACAAAGAGTATATGAAACCTGTACTTTTATATTTTATTGAAGAGGGTGAAATTGGGATAAATAATCTGCATTTTGGTACCTTTAAACCATTATCATCAAGGTCACGTGCGTGCATTAAATTGGAGCTGTCAAAAAGAGTAGAGGCTTAACTTTACGTACATGCTCTTTCTGCATTAGCGACGGGGCTTCTTTGGACAAGCTCTAACATTAAACACTATGCACATTATCGGTAGAATTGCAGAAAACCTTTCCTACCTCACTGTGTAATACATTGTGTTTATTATTGGGCTTTTACATAGTGTTTGTTATATTTTAAGAAATGTTAATAGTTGTTAACGTTTGATGATGCATTAAACCATCGTATTTAAAAAAAAATAAGGACTCCCACGCATATGGTAATTGAAGGAGTATGAGTTCAATTGTAGACAATGTTTTGGTTTTAAAATACGTTGTTTAGGATATAGGTGACTTTTTAGTGACGTCTTGTTGCGGACAAACGTTCTGAAGGTATCGAAGTAGGCATAGTAGAAACAATCGTAATCCTGATATACTTACTGGGAGATAAATATACTTTCTCAGATGTGTATATGTAAAATAACAGTAAAGTTCCCTTTTCGAACCTGACGGTTCATGGGGAAAATGAAGTAGAGTTCACCTGTTTCTCTTACCTCGGCAGTTTGAAGGGATAGTGTGGTCAGCACTATGCCAAGCCGCTTTTACTTCCATCAACCTGTTAGGTACTCATCAGAGCTCGGTGGACTCAATGACGTCTAAACTGACCTGAACACGAGACTTTCGGGTGAATAGTTTAGCGCTCTACCACTATGCCACGCTGTCCCATATTTGTATACGTAATATTTCCTTTTTAGGCTGTATTTTTATTTACCTTATTCAATATAAGCAATGATCACACTGTACTTACTCACACAAACTGGTCTGAGGCTATTCCATCTACCATTGAGTTGGCATATGAGATTACTCGAGCCTTGTAGAGTATACCCCGTGTTGCAGTAGTAGTAGCAATTGGTTCTATAGTAGTAATAGTAGTAATAGTAGTAATAGTCCCAAAATGGGATGTAGGAGCCTCCGTAACATCTTGCATAGCCGTTAGGGATAGAGTAGACACTTATCCCATAGGAGTCAAAGTAATAACACCTGGCAACTAGAAGGATAAAAAAAATTTAATTAAAAATGTTTAAAAGAGGGGTGGGGAAGGGTGGGGGTGTGTCACTCATAAATGACGTAACGCTTTTATTTGATGATTTTTACCCCGCTTCATCCCCTCCATCACACATCGTCTCAAACAGCCAGACCCACCTTAAAATGACGGCAAATATCAGCCTACAACCCATCCCCCGCCCCCCCAAAATTAATTACTTTTTTAAACAACGACTATTTTTTTTTCTAAAATATTGACTGAAAGAATATTTTACTAATTTTCTATTACAATTTATGAAAACCGTTTTCTAAAACGCGAAATAACGGCTAAAAATCAGTTTCTAGCATTACTATTTTAAAATGCAAAATTGCAACGTACACTATATTAACCCCCCCCCCCCCCACACACACAATCACACATCGTTTCTACGAGTGTGACGTCATTTATTGACGAGGGGTCATCCATAAATGACTTCACGCTATTTTGGACGACTTTTACACCTCCCCTCCGTCACACATCGTCACAAAAGGCCAGACACCCCCTAAAATGACGTCACATCTCAGCCTGCAACCCCCGTCAAAATTGCAGTTAAATTTTTTTTTAAAACATCGATCTTTTTCTAAAATCTTGTCTGAACTATACCATCATAGAGTATTTTAATCAATTTCTATTACAATTTATTTAAGAAGTTTTCTTAACGCGAAAGAAAAACTAAAATAAGTTTTTTTTTAAAATAATGCAACAATGTGACGTCACACCATCTGAACCCCCTCCCCCTGTCACACACCGTCACAAAAATACGGACCCCCCTCCCCCTTCGAGTGTGACGTCATTTACAGACGACCCCGAACCCTAATTTTTCAAATTCGGTATATATTTTAAGTTGCAATCTTAGAACTTTATACAGTCTCTTCTATCTGTCAGCCGAATGCCCCGTGTTTCTGTATTTTAATGACGTACCACTGATTGTAAAGCGACTGGTGCAGAATGAAGTAGAACCCAGCCTGTCCTTTGCTTCATACGTAACGGCGTATGTGCCGGGCCAGAGTAAAGACCCTGAAGCTGGACCAGAAGTTTGGCGAGCACTGTTAGTAAAAGATTACGGCAGGGATTCAATTAAACTGTACACAAGTGTGTGATTCAATTAAGCACTTATTCAAGTGGGTATGAAAGGATGATGCACTTTTTAACGGAGTCAAAGGGGCAAAGGTTCTATTTGTAGGGTAAAGTTTAGATCTAAGTAGGGATGGATGAGCTGGACTGCTAGCCCTTAAGTCTCGAGTTCGAATCCGGGTTCAAGTTAGTAGACCGTCCCTGGGTCCACCCAACTCTCATGGGTACCTAACTCACGTTAGGGAAAGTAAAGGCGGCTGGGCATAGTGCTGACCACATTATCCCTTCATATGCCGAGGTCACAGAAACAAGTGAACTCTATTTCATTTGCCCTATCGACCGTCAGGTTCGAAAGGGAACTTTACTTTTTAGGGTTGGATGGTTTAGTATGCTACTGCTAGCCCGAAAGTCTCGAGTTCGGGTCCCGGGATAGAGTAGTAGGACTTCCAAGTGTTCACCAAGCGAGATACTAAATTTAGGGAAAGTAAAAGTGGTCTGGAATAATGTCGATCATACTATCTCTTCATATGACGAGGTCATAGAAACATGTGAACCCTATTTCACCTGCCCCATGTACCGTAAGGTTCGATCGGGTGTTTACCTTTTTTAAAAAAAAATCAACATTAAAGGATAAATTAATGTTTAAGAATTATGTCAACCTTGAATTCAAACTACCACATTTAGCGTGTTGATTTCTGTCTTGGTCATAAAAAAATTATACAATGTCAATATATCGTATCAATTGGCCTAATTAGTCTAATAGAGATCACCTAACATGATTCTACTCTTGATACAACACTTTGTTTACCAGTGTACAGTGAACCAAAACTTCACAAAATGCACCATAAGCTTTTCATATGTCTTAAACTTAGTACTATTTAAGAAAAACCAAATTCAAATACAAGCATTAATTTGCAAATGTTAGTCCTATAGCTTACTACAAGATACCATCCTCCACATCCCTTGCTGTAGCTTGGGGCCAATATACTCTCTATAATAAATGTATATATATATATATATATATATATATATATATATATGAATTAATGTCAGTAACCAAAGTGAATAATTTCGCGTTTCAGTGATGTTTTGTTAAATATGAAAGACGGGTCATGTCTTATTTGTATTGGTTCATTGTTATTAAACATTTATAAACTAATGTGAAGTCTAATGAATGTAAATAAATGTATTGAACTGTGTGTTAATAATTGTTATTTTTAGTTTCATATTCATGTTGTTTATGTGTGAAGAAATTAGTTTTCTCAGGTCTGGTAAACCTTGTACCAACGAGGATGCACAGATGTGAGAGAATAAAACCATCACCATCTCTCTATCTCAGCTCTCTGATGACTATTTTGGTCAAGCAACACAATTCTGAAATAGTGGTTCTGTGTCATTCAACATTTGACACAAATTGTGCCCAAGTTCACCAGTGCCACACAGCAGCAGTCGAACATCTGATATAAAATATGACTAAGGCTGTTAGTAAGGTATACATATACAACCACTTTTGATGTTTTCGGTGTAACGCTAAACCTTACTTTAAAACACATACATTTTATTGTTTTTCTTTTACAATTAATTGTAGCCATAAAAAAAAATATTTGAAATAGAAGAAACTTAACTCACTGTTGGGGTGAAATAATCTGTCAGAACCTGGTCAGGTATTGTTGGACATGTTACCGTTGGTATGTTGTTAATACAACCTGAAATGTATACATACCTACATAAATACACACACATAAATATATATATACATATATATATATATATATATATAATAATAATGCTTAATTCTGTATGTAACATGTAATAAGTTTGTTTGTCGTGGACATACTTGGATGGATTTAAGTGTTAGATTATTATCGTGCTCATAGTCTAAATTTATGAGTTAAAAAATTACTATTGAAAGTGTTGGGAAATAATTTTCATTTTTCAAACTGATAGTAATAATTGTCGGCATGTTCATTAAACACAATTTAAAAAAAAATATCTTTTACAAAAATTCTAATTATGTCTGAAAATTATTTATATTTAGTCCTTAAGCACTTACTTCCCTTTGATAAATTAGGAAAACACAATTACTTCTCTTTACAAAACATTGCATTAGTGGAAAAGAATTTACTTTTTATTACTTTGTTTTGGTGTTGGGAAAAAAATAATTACATAATTAGCGGTGATTGATCAAGTGCAAATGTTGTAGGTATTTTACGGTTAAGCTTGGAGTATTATAATTGTTCATTAAATTGATACAGGCGCGTCCGCCGGCGCCCCACCAGGGTTCAATTTGGCGCTCTGGGCTATCCTGTTAGCGCTATGGTGCATAATTTCGCTTTGAACAGTGCGATAGATTAAGGATAAGAAAGGTTACTATAGTCTTTAAGTGAATCGAATCCGGGCGTCCTCTGGCGCCCAGACAGGGTGCTATTTGGGGCTCCGGGCCTCCCGTGTTCGGTTTGGCGCCTACGTTCGTTTAAGTGAGTGCAAAAGACTATGAATAAGTTGGGGTACTATAGTCGTTTATTAAGCTGAAACAGGCGATTCCGCCCCGGGCTAGACTGTGAGCACTTTGCGTATATGTTCGCGTTAGTGTTTTTTTGTGTTTGGGTTGGGTTTGCGTTAGTGGTTGCGTTTTGATTTGGTTCGTTTTTGTTCTTTCTTTTTTCGTTTTCGTTTGTGTTTTTTTCTTTGGGTTTGTATTTGTGTTTGTGGTTGGTTTTGCGTTTGGATTTGGTTTGTTTTCGTTTGCTTTTTCATTTGTGTTTTTTCTTTGGGTTTGTGTTTGTGGTTGGTTTTGCGTTTGGATTTGGTTTGTTTTCATTTGCTTTTTCGTTTCTTTTTCTTTGTGTTCGTATTGGTATTTGTGATTGTGGTTGGGTTTGTTGTTAGGTTTTTGTTTTCATTTGCTTTTTTGTTTGTTTTTTCTTTGTGTTTGTATTGGTGTTTGTGGTTGTGGTTGGGTTTGTCGTTAGGTTTTTTGTTTTCGTTTGTATTTGTAATTGTGTTAGCGTTATGTTTGCGTTTTGTTGTTTAGGTTTTGGTTGGTTGTGGTTTGGGTGGGCAGTGCCGGGTTTATGATGATTAATAAACACACAGGTAATGGTCTTTAACAGAAAGGTTTTTCACAGAAGCCAGAGAAGGACCTGGCCGGGACGGCTAGTATACATATATATATACACACACACACACACACACATATATATATATATATATATATATATATATATATATATATATATATATATATATATATACAACAATCAGCCCTTTCTCCTAGTCTGTTTTTTTGTAGTTACAATTAGAGTGCATGATCTTATTTAGTAAGATACTTTTCCCCTAACTCTTATCGTGCTTTTACATTAGATCATATAAAATAAAAAAAAAACCAACAACAACAAGCAGACAGTTATGATAACAGATTAACTTACTGTATGTCCAGCAGGAGTTGTAGCACCAGAAGAACCACCATCCGCAGTTACACACCCTTCGGCACGACCTCCCACAAGTGTACCAATAATAGGCTCTGGCTTTTCTCAGTAGTAGAGTCACGTTGTCATTGTCGAGGCCCGATAGCTCTGATTAACACGTACATTTAAAAATATTTTTAAAATTTAGAGTTAGATATGACGACCGCAACACATAAAAGTAAAAAAAAAAAAGTAAAGTTCCCTTTTCAAACCTGATGGTCTATAGGGCAAGTGAAGTAGAGTTCACTTGTTTCTGTGACCTCGGCATTTGAAGAGATAGTGTGGTCAGCACTATGCCCCGCCGCCTTTAGTTTCCCTAACGTGAGTTAGATACCTATCAGAGCTGGGTGGACTCAGGGAACACATAAGACGTTTAATTGTTCTTTACATATTAGTTAGAGTGTCACTTTTTGGCCTACTGGAGTTGTTTGCTTTGTGTATAGAAAAACATTTTTTTCTCTTCAGTGCGTAGGGTAAACTAATAAAATTTAGCCTTTTTCTGGAATTTGACCTAAGAAAGTAGAGTGTGGTTAGTTCTAACTTCAGCAGTCTTTACTTTCCCTAACATGTGACATGCATATATATAAATATTTATACATACATATACAATGTATAGATATACATATATTTCAAATCACTCACTGTAAGATACCCACATGCCATTAAGGCATTTATAAGTATCGGGATTCCCAGAAGAAGGATCAGCCATGCAAATAGTGCCGTGTGATGCAAGCGTTCTATTCACAAACGTATTTTTACCGTCATCTTTTTCCTGATGGTGTACTGACACCTGATGCGTACTCAGGTTTGAATAGCTCAGCCTACATAAAATATATACATTAAACACATACATATATTTACATATAAGCTCTTACATATATATTCAAACACACACACACACACACACACATATATATATATATATATATATATATATATATATATATATATATATATATATATATATATATATATATATATATATATGTATGTATATATATATATATATGTATGTATGTATATATATATATATGTATATATATATATATATATACATACATATATATATATATATATATATATATATATATATATATATACACACACACATAAGACAGATATTTTACCGCGGTGTCTGCAGATTGTCTGCAGGTGTAGTCTCTATGTCTTGATCACTTTCCAGTGTATGTAAGTACAAGTCTGGTCCTTGCTGGTTATAGCAATAATCTGTCTGCATCGTGGGTTTAAGTTCACAGCCCTGAAATAATAAAATATCTAATCAGCATTGTGAGGTCGTTCTTTAAAATTTTCGACAGGAGTAGATACAAGTAGACACAATCAGGGGCGTAGCGAGGGGGGGCGGGGGGTGCGGACCGCACCGGGTGACACCATTTAGGGGGGTGACACCAAGGCAAAAAACAATAGCAAAATGTATAGAGAAATACTTGAGGGGGGGGGGGTGCAAATCGAAAACTTGAAAGTTTGTCCCCGGGAAGGGTCACGACGCCTCTGAGGGGGGGGGGGGGAGTTGACACCATTAAGTGCCGCACCGGGTGATACCCGACCTCGCTACGCCACTGGACACAATCAATTCTGGTTAATTAAAGGGTTTTATTCTCAACTTCATAAAATCCCACGAGAGTAAAACACATTTCTTATAACAATTTCAACACTTGACTGCCGTTAATATTTACCTCTATACACCGTATTCTAGCTCTCAACACCGTCGCTGTCAGTCGACCAATCGCCTTCCTTGTTCCATTCGTTCACTCAGTATAAACACACACACACACACGTCAACACATCTAGACTCACAATACAACACTAAGGGTACACACACGCACAGTTTATAGTACTTCGTTCTACATACACACACCGTCAAACATTTCACACATCAACGCAAGCAACTCGTACATTTTCTTTACAAAATAATTTATTCCGCGTATTACGTTAATCACGGAACAGCGTGGCAGATTAGTTCGAAACCGGGTTCACGTCAGTAGACCGTCCCTGAGTCCAACCAGCTCTGATGGGTACCTGACTCACGTTAGGGAAACTAAAGGCGACTGGATATAGTGACAACCACACTATCCCTTCATATACCGAGGTCTTTGAAAAATATGCACTCTACTTCATCTGCCCCATGTGTCTTGGGTACGAACGGGAAAAGATGATAAAGAGTAAGTGAACCTAGTACCAAATTTAAAGTTAAC